CCGTTTTTTGTTGGGGGGGGCCCGGGGGGGCGGGTTTTGTGGCAACCCGGTTTGGGCAAGGTTTCGAGGGCGGTGAATTGGGTGAGGTAGGCGTTTGTGGAGGCTTGGAGGGTGGAGGGGGTGGGGTGGATGAGGGTTTGGTGGGATGTGTAGCCTGGGGGTTGGGGGGTTAGTTGGGTTTGGGAGAGTGGCGTTGGGTGGACTTACGATGTATGCCTAAGCGTTCGCTGGTTTTCCAGTGGATTTGTTGGGCGGATTTGATGGTTTCTTTGATACGTTTCAGTGCGCCGCGGCAGCTCTTCTTGTCTACAAAGACGACAACAGCACCGCTGCCGCTCCTCTTGATTTCTGTGCTCCAGAGTTTGGGAAGTGCGCTTTCTTCATCCTCCATTACGCCTTCGGCTAGTAATTCCTGCTCCTGCTCCCTCTTCCTCTTCCTCCCTCTGCCCTCTTCGTCTCCTGAGGCTCCAGCATTCCCTTTTCTATTTCCCTCGCCTTTCCACTTCTTGTGCAATGCAGGCGCCGGCACTAATCCATCAAACTCGACACGCTCAACCATTGCGCCGCCCAGTTGCTCTGCGAACAGGGCCCGTAGATTCGTTTCGGACGCATCAATTGGCACGTTTGCGATGAAGAGACTGCGCTCGTCGTCTGCTGTGGGTACACTTGGCGCATGTTGTTTGATGTAGAGATAGTGTTTTGCGTCGCAAGCGGAGGGTGGGAGACCTGGAATTGCGGGAAGAGTAAGAGGGAGAATTACAAAGCCTGACACGGTCTTGGGGGTGGACTTTGACTTTTTGGAGGGCGGAGGCTCGGTGGGCGCCATGTTGGGTGATGTCGTTGGTGTCGGGAGTACTTGTAGGGTACGAATTGCGACTTCGTCTGCACCAGGATCGCGAGTTATGAGAAAAATGTCAACAGAATATCCTGGCTGCGAAACACCAGGAGAAGCAAGAAACAGCTTCGTGAAGTGGTGTTGTCTAGATTGTGCAAAGCATCACAGGCGCACGCGCAAAGAAAGTTCAAAGTCCACGAAATTTCGGCAGGCATGGCACGGACCCATCCCCACGCCTCCATCCCGCGCGCGTCGCCTGGTTTCAGTCGTCAAGCCGCATCAATCACGATGCAATATCCAGTATATTCTCGAGAGTAGCTCCTGCCAATATCTTGATTACAGTCGTATACCTATTGCCAAATGGTTTGCTACATATCCAACCCATCCTCAGCCTTATGCAAAGCATCACGAAATAACCAAATCAAGTTGTAAAGAAGAGCGCAAGCCGTGAAAGCGGATATCGGTGCAAGTTCGTAAGTCGTCAAAGTGATGTTTTGTAATTAAACCACAAGGTGAGCCATACGATAATGCTCACCTGCTCCATCTCGTGTTTTGTTCATCACGTGGCCAACACGATGGTCAGCAGCATCGTCAGCATGGTCAGATGATGCGTCATTGGACAGAACATCATAAGCAGATTCGCTGCGTGTTTCGTCCATGGGATGAGCCGGCACTCCAGCGTCTGTTGTTTTACGTTTAGAGACAGTGCTTATCCTGTTCAGACGAAGCCTCCAGGAACATGCTTCATCGGAGTAACCGGAAGGGAGTCGAAGTGGCCCTCGTGCTCCTCCTTCTTCTCAGACATCTCTTCCTTCGTCTTCATGTCCTCGGGCTCGAGTCTGGCACCTTCCACCGAAGACAGCGAAGAGGTCGAGTCACCACGTACAAGGGACGGCGTTGACTCTGGGCTGTGCCTTGGCTTGGTAGGCGAGGCAGCAGTGGATGACGCATCACGGGATGCATCAAGTGATGCGTCAGAGTGAGTCGACATGCGATTACGGAATGGGCTTCGGACCGGTAGTTGCGGAGGTGCGACCTTGGCAACCTGCACGACACGTGGGCGATTGACAACCTGGGGTGCAGCCGCTTGGTGAACCTGGTGGATGATGACGGATTCTTCTTCAGAATCTTCTTCTTCTTCTTCATCCTCGGAATCCTCGGAATCCTCGGAACTGTCTTCGTCGTCTTTGGATTCTGGCTCTTGTGTCGCGGGAGCCATGCTGGCGTCAGTCGTCGCCTCTTCTTTTGGCGACTCTTCCCTCTTGGAAGTCTCTTGATCCTCGTGCGACTGTTCCACCTTGGAATTCTCCTCCTCGGCTGGCTGTCTGATGGGTTGCTTCTGTGGAGTAGGCTCTTCTACTCTCGTCTCAGGTATCTGAGCCATGGGAGGCGTGGGTGTTCGTGCCATGTTTTCCCTTGGTGGTAGTGCAGGTGGTGGTGCCGCGTTTTCCCTTGGTGGTAGTGTAGGTGGTGATTTCTTTGCAGGTGGAGGAGGAATATCGTCTGTCTGCGTGCTTGTATCAATCATGATACTTGGTGCTCGATATTCTCGGATGCTGCTCATCGTGCTAGTTCGCCAACTTGAGCGCCGGCTACCAGTAATGCTTGCGTCTATGCTTCGTCGGAACGTCGAGTTTCTAAAAGTGTTGTAGATTGGACTGGTAGGGCTGGGCTTGAATTCGAACTGCTCGCTTGTAGGTCGACTGTGCGTTCCTGCCTCTCGAATCTCAAGTCCTGCTTCTTGTAGTGCCAGTACACCATAGGGGTCGGGATCTGCAGCATCTGGAATCCCAAAAGGCTCACTCCCAGGTGCCATGACGTCGAAATCTGCGGGCGAGGCTTCGTCGGGTATGAGAGATTCATCAATGTCTGTGTCTCCTTGCGCCGCCCTCAGTGTTTCCATGAGTCGTCTGATTTCGTACGGAGGATGTCGGGCTTTGCCGGCGAGGATGTCTTTGACGCCAATGCGCTCCCCGTAAAAGCGCTCGTTCTCGTCTGTTCGTTCGATGACAACGGTTCCGTCGAGCTGCAATCCGGCATAGAATCCGCGTGATTTGATATATGTGAAGATTGGTGACTGTCGCTTGTGCAGTTCCGTGTCGAGTATGCCACCCACTCCGACCGGGCCAGCCACTGCGCTGATTTCTCCTCCCAACGTGCATCTGACGGACTCGAAGGCCTCCATGGCCTTGTCCGAGTTGATCACGATGACACAGTCGTAAATATCTACGCCGAGCAAGAAACCCACGCCAACGGTATGCATCATGATTCCAGAGGGAGGGGACCATGAGCCATCAGGCAATCGGGCGACCAAGATACCAGCGCCACCTGATCCAGACACCCAAAAGCCGGTGCGCATCGTCGTGAAGATACAGAGGCCTTTTGCATTCTGAATCACTTTGGCCGGTATCTTCTTGAGCACCTTTTGCTTTCCTTTTGGCGCATCGACGGTCGGGCGGTCTTCTTCTTGGTAGAAGCCATCCTCTGGACTTTGATTCAGTGGCTGGCAAGGAGCGACCAGGACGGTGACACTTACTGCAGAAACTCTTCAAAATCCTCGCAGCCTTGTCTGACTCAATGTCTAGAGTGGTTGGCCAGAATGCTTCGGAGCCGACTTTGTTAGACAATCGATTGACAGGCGCTCCGAGCTTGTCGACCCAAGAGTAGACTTTGTCGAAGCCTGCCTTGGACTGCGACTTTGTCTTGGACCACAAGGCCATGGTCGTGGGATCGGGCTGTTGCGCAGAGAAGCCTCACGAATGGATGCCAGTTGGGCCGAACGTTAGTGGGGAGTGTTGCTCAGATTACACATTAGCAAAGGTCAGCTGACATTGGATGGATGGATGGATGGGTTGGCAGAGCAGAGGTAGGTAGAGAAGAAGAGGAATAAGGACGAGGACAAGGATAAGAATGGGAAGAATCAAGAGAAAAACACAAAAAGACAAAGAGGCCAGTCAAATTGCGGAAGCAGCGGGAGTCTGGTAGACTTGTGAGGGTTGGCCGCCGGGGGGGTGAAGTGCGGGCTCGCACCGTTCTAGAGCGCGGCAATGGACAATACGTCAGCTGGACTGCAAGCAGTTGGCCTTTTGTTGGAGGCTGGTGAGGGCGGAAGCACGCGAACACAAAAGGCGCAGCAGCGGGTACCAGCTCTAGCTTTTCTTCCTCGGCCTGTGTTGGTAGTCATGACCAAGCCGCGGCCCTTGCCTAGCCATGACGGGAGAATAAGAAACTTTGCAAATGACGGGTCAATTTAGTAAGATTGATGCTAAGTAAGGAAGAGGACTCCATGGAGCAGAGTCGGCGGCGTGGCGGACAGGAGGCCAGCTTCCATGGACCCAGAAGCAGCGAGTCGTGGGCACAGGCGAAGCGAGAAAAGGATTGATTCCCAGCTTGGTCTTGGTTTGGCGCTGGCAGTCCAGGGCACTGGCAGGGCACTGGCAGGGCATGGATGCCTGGGATGGGCCATGGATGCCTGGGATAGGCCATGGATGTAGAGTAGTAGACTCACTCGCTCGAGCTAGATGTGAAGATGAGATCTGGAAGCCAGCCATCCTTTGTCTTGCCAACCTTTTCCTCTCCTCGTCCCGGCGCCCATCCGGAGAAACCGTTTGGCCGAGAGTCGTCGCGCCAAGACCCTCAAGAGCGCGCGCCCGCGTCTTGGTTGCTGGGAGCTTGCAAGTCCAATGTTTGGCCACTGGCGAGAACAAACGGCCATCAATCAACCTGACAAGCCAATTCTCCGCCAACCTCCAACGCCACCACTCTCCCACCTTGCACACACACACAAAGGTGGTGCGATTGGGTATTTTTTGGTCCAAATAGTAGAAGAAGAAAAAGTCCTCAGAAAGAGCTGGCGACCACTATCGACCTACCCTGCCCTGCCCTGCCCTGCCCTGCCCTGCCTTGCTCTGAGCCTGCCCTGAGCCTGCGCATACGCCATGTTCCGCTTCAACAACCCTGAACCGCCGTCCACGCCTGGTAGGCAGCGTCGCGAAGGTCACAATGGACCCTCAACCACGCCTGCAGGCCCACCGCCCGACAGATCGATGCTCGCCTCCCCAACACACGCCCTACCACCGCCCAAGAGGAACACCCTCTTTGATCCTTCTGCCCGCCCCACATTCGACAAGCCCATCTCCTACGGCTTTGACAACTCCTTCTTCGCCAGCTCTCCCCCCAAGCAAGATTACCTCGAGGGCATTGGCTTTGGCTCCATAGGCACATCCAGCACCGGCAGGCCCTCGGTTCCGCGTGGACGACCTACTTCTGGTAACAGCATGGCAGCTGGGGCGGGTAGCTTCCAAGTCCCAGAACCCTCATCAGACAGAGATGCCGAGGGCGAGTCTGACGACGACGAAGAATACGACGACGACATGGACGACGAAGACGAGTACGAAGACGAGGAAGAGCAGCACGCTTCACCACGGCGCCCAAAGACACAGAACAGCTTCTCACAGTCTGTCATTTCGAGAGCAAGTACCAACGACATGGAACCCGGGCCTACGCTTGTGCGCGCCGGTGTCAAGCAGAAAAAGTTCGATTTCGTCGCCTTGGCCAAGAGCCAAACCTCAAGCAACGATCGTGCGACATTGCAGGACACAGACCATGCCATTCTAGAGACTGAACGATTGCTGGAGAAGGTGCACGATTCCATTCACTCGGGATCGGCGGAAACAAGGGCGGAGGTGCTGAGTGCGAGTGTGCGAGACTTGGTCGCATTATGGCACGCCTCCGCAAGCAAAGCGTCCAAGACCGACCCGTCTTCTTCCAGTCAATCTGGCGCTATCAGTGGCCTCACTCATGCCAGCCGGTTGGCGGACCTATGGTTGAGTATCCACCATCCTCCTCCGCTCACACACACCCCACGAAAGTCTGCTCTCTCCCTTGTGCCCTCGAGGTCCGAATCGAAACAGTACACCCCGATCCCCAAGGTCATGCTCGATTGGCTCAACAGCACATGCTCGGGCATGTCAGAAGTGGAGGTGGTTTTGAAGGCGCATGGCTACTCCAAGCACCCGTCCTTTTGGGAAGCAGTCCATGTCACAGTTGTGCGAGGCTACTTTGCGGAAACGCTAAAGTTGCTACAAGGTGCCGATCTTGAAGTTGCCGAGAGCGCGCAGCAGGATGGTTTGGGCCACACTGGATACACCGGCGCGCATCTTCGTTATGCGAATGATGCAATGCGGGCGGCAATTGATCTCATCCATGAATGTCCGGCTGTTGCGAATGGAGACTGGGATGTCAAGGGTCATGATTGGAGCATTTTCCGCCAACGTGTACATCAAGCCTACAATGGGCTTGAGGAAATGGCAGAGGGCGAGAGCGCTAGCCGGCATGCTGTCTCACAACCATTCCAGGCATCGCACTTTGGTATTTCACAAACACAGGCCAGCTTCCAATTGAGTGTGGCGAGTAGAAAGGTCGAGAGCAAAGTGCCTTGGACCGTCTACGAGAATCTGCGAAAGCTGTACCAGCTCTTGTTAGGCAACGAGGAAGAGATTCTCGCCATTTCAGCCGACTGGATCGAAGCGGCCCTCGCTCTTTCGATCTGGTGGAATGGAGAGGAAGAAGAAGAACCTGTCCAAGGCAGCCTTGCAGCCAGTCGACGTTCAATCATGCGTCAACATCGAGTTCGCTCGGTGGACGTAACGCCCGTAAAGGCATACTGTCAACGGCTGTCTGCTTCTTTGGCGGCAGTCACTGCAAGCTGCGACGATGATTTTGGCGTGAACGTCGTTGATCGCTTCGAGATTGGACTGGCCGCTATCCTAGACGATGAGCCTGAAGCTGTGTTGCAAATCATCCGCAGCTGGTCGCTGACAATGGCGTCCGCTGTAGCGGAGATTGCCAATGACGGGGGTTGGTTCACGCGCGCGAATGGCCTGATGGAGCAATTCGATCAGAGCGATCTCATGGTGCTGAGCTACAACGAACTACAACCCAGGCGCATATCCAAGGATGACCTGCAAATATCTTATGCTAACATGTTGGCATCAAAAGGCCAGCTCACCGGCGAAGATGGCCAGACGTCACGGGAAGGATGGGAAATTGCGATCCAAGTGCTTGGGAGGCTGGACGATAGTATCACAGCCAGCGACCGCATCGAGCGAATTCTCAACGAGCTTCCTCTCGAGTCGGCAGACAGAGTCGACAAGATCACAAAGCTATGTCATAGCATGAGTCTCGAGCAACACGCCCTAACTATCGCCCAAGTAAGCCTTCTCCAGTCCTCCGGTGGCCATTCACTGACAACAATAGAAATATGCCGATCACCTCCGCACAAATACTCACAGCTACGGTGACACCCTCCTCTACTACGCTCGGGCCCACGACGCGCCACATGTCCAAGAAGTCCTGCGCGTCCTTGTCGCCCACTGTCTCGTCAAGTCCGCCGCCTACCCCCCTGTCGACGAACTCGACGATTCCCTCTCCTCCCTCATCTCCTCGCCTAAGCAAACACTCACGAAGCTCGCCAATTTCGACCCGGAAGCCGCATCGCTCCTCTCCAATCATCTCAGCGGGTACGCGACGATTCGAAAATTCTACGAGCTGAGAGACGAGGAGGTACTCTGCAAGGCGGGAGAAAAGCCGGCGCATCGACCCATGGCGCGGAAACGCGCGGCGGCAAACGCACTCATGGTCATCATTGCAAGTGCGGCTTCTAGCATCAAAGGCGGTCTGTATGATCCAGAGGTTGAAACCGTGGTCCAAGTCGACGTTCTCCTCCCCCTACTAGGAGAGGCCCTCGTCTTCATTGATCGTAAGCCTACCTATGCTTTCCCTTCTTTCCTCCCCTTCCTAACCAAAAATTCTAAAAAACAGAACCAAAACGCACCCTCACTCTCCCACACATGTACACCCTCCTCGCCGCAATCGAGGACCTCGACACCGCACCTAGCATGATCCGCGCCCAATGCGAAGAAGTCCTTTCCACAACCCTCGCTGCCGCTTACTCTTCTTCATCTGACTCTGACTCTTCCCCTCACAACTACCGCCACAATGAACAACAACACCCGGCCTCCAATCTCTCAAGCACATATAGCCTCATCGGTTCCACGGACTTTTCAGCACCAAACTCTACACACGCCTCCGCCGTCTTGGTCCACGGCGGCGGTATCCGCGATGCGAAGCGCGGCTGGGATTGGCGGAGGGGGGTCAAGAGGGGCGTTGGTGGGAGTCGGGTGTTGGCCTTGTTGAGGCTAGGGCTGGCGAGGGAGATTGCGAGGGCGTTTGCTGAGGGGGATGTTTGAGCGGATGGAGAGGTTGACGGAGGTGTGGAGTGGTGGGTTGAGGCTGTGGAGAGGAGAATGTCAATGCGGTTTTGATGATGGGATGGAATTCTTCTGTGTACAGTGGTGTGTGAGAGCGATTATGTTGTGCGGGCATTCTTGAATTGTCACTTTTGAACTGGTCTTCTGCAAGGTCTGTGTATTGTACAGGTGCATGTTTGTGAGAAAAGAAAGAACGCCCCCATTATGCAACACAACACATCCCACCAACCCGCCCAGCTGCCCCCTGCTCCCCTGCCCTCTCCTCCCTCACCCCTCCTCCCTCACAGCTTAATCGTAACATCCCAGCAATCCAGCCCAACCGCCACCCCCGTAACCGCCACCGCATACGCCGCCAACACCACCATACTCTGCCCAACCCCCATCTCCAACGTCGGCAGCCCCAAATTCACCAGCCCGGTCAGCAGGTTGGCGACCAAGAACACAACAAGGCCATTGCGGTTATACGCGTGCAAGACGGTACTCGTGGCGTCCCTGGCGCGGCGGCGCTCCTCGGCGCGACTGCCGGCTTTCGCGTGGTATAGATTGGGAAAGAGGAGGGATTCGATGGCGCAGCAGAGGGCGATGTTGGCGCTGTTGAAGGAGGCGACCCAGACGACGTAGGGGAGGTTAGCGAGGCGGCGGGAGACGGTGAGGTGGAGGCCGTGGTAGGAAGTGCAGAGGTAGAAGAGGCATGTCCATGCGATGCTGACGAGGCAGAGTTGGCCGAGGGTGGAGCGGGTGAGGTGGTGGAGTGGGGAGGTTGGGGACGGGGGGTTGGGTACGGGTTTGGGTTTTGGTTGGCGGGGGAGCGCGATGGAGCCGAGGGATTGGCCGGCGAGGAAGATAGAGAGGTAGCCGATGAAGGAGAAGATTCCCTCGCGGTTTTGTGTGAGGAGGTTGGTGCGTGGGGAGATGAGGATGAAGGAGGAGAGGGGAGTTGTGTCGAGGGCGATTTCGTAGACGGAGGCTAGGGCGAAGGAGAGGAGGGCGTATGAGGGGACGAGGTCGAAGAGGGTTTGGCAGAGGGTGGCGAAGGGGGGGAGGAAGGCAAGTGTGAAGAAGAAGTTCCAATGCACCCCGTATTCCGTAACGTGTTCTGCATAGTCTAGCCCCTTGACAGAGATGAGGCGGATGACGCCAAGAACGAGGAGGGGAATCGCGTGGCGGATTGATGCGGTGAAGCGTTTGGAGAGCGGTGCGCGTTGACCTGGGGCTTCTTTCAAGGCGGGGCGAATCGAGACTACGCCAGCTGTGAAAACGAATGAGCCTACGCCCATGTCCATGAGCGACGTCCCCCAATTCTCCACCTTTGCGAAGCGACGAGGGAACACTCGAAAGTCGACAGCCAGTATAGCAATACATGTGATGACCATCATAGCGCCGCGGTAGTTTGTAATAAACGGTTTGACAGGAAGTGGATCGAGCTCGGCATCCTTCTCCTCCCGCGTCTCCTTTTTCAAAGGCGGCCGAGGCGCCTCCCGTTTTACAGGCATCGGTTTCTCAAGCACATATAGGACGGTTGCGGGAAGCAACAACAGCATATTCAACACCCATGGCGAGGACGAGTATATCGTGGTCGCAAATAGCGTGACGCCGCAATTGAGCAGCAAATCCACAAAGAAGGCTGGCAGCGTGTATGGCGTGAATAATCGCATGCGGGACTGTATAACGGACCATAATAGGATGCTCAACTGTCGACAACATAGTTAGTGGGACACGCGCTGTGTGTAAGTGTTTGGGGGGAGTGTGTTACGGTACAGGCATTGCGAGCGATACGCTGTTCACATCAGCGACTGAGCTGCCGGTGTGGCCGGACACCCAGGCTTCTTTGAGTTGTTTGTATGATTTCGCCATTTTGGGGGGTAAGGAGTGGAGGGTCGAATGGGAGATTTAGAGGTTCTCACATTGTTGCGTAAGGTAGACGCGTTGGAACATCCATGCTGGCGTTTCGGATGGGAGGAGAACAGGTGGTCCAAGCTCACAATGACTTCATGCCATGGTGTCTCATGTTGACTTCATTCATTGCAAGGTCAATAATGACATTTACAAGCTCTAATTTTCGATTCAAAAACTATGCTCTTTTTGTTTTCATGCTCTATTTTTCTCATCTGCATTCGAACTGTTTCTTAATTGCCATGTCAGCACAATCCGTCATGCTGTCGATTTGTCAAGAAACGCATATCTTCCACTATACGTTGTGATGGTTATTCCATGGATGTAGTTTCATCTGGGGAATACTCAATATTCCTCATATCAAGATAAATAGTGTCTTCTGAGCGGTCGCGGACTCAACACTTGAAAAAAAAAGACATGAGCACTGGGGAACGCAGAATCGTACCCGTGGGAGAGCAAAACAGCGTCACAATATCTGTAAGATGATAACTATATCCCATTATTAGGGCGGTGAATGTATACGGCTGGCTACATGTGACCGAAATTCATTACATTTGCTACCAGCGATGGTTGCCTTCAATATCAGGAAGTGGCCCCTTTCATCCTATCCATAACACTTTCTCTTCCCCTACGCAAATCTACTGCCCTCTTTTCCTTATTTGCATCTTATCTCTTTCCTACACACCACTACCGCATTGTAAAAATCTCCTATGGACGTGCAGAGCCTTTTGGACCCCTTCGTTCTCTTTCATCATCACTTCATACAACACGTGTACACGTGTTGACAAACGAATTAGCGTATTGGCGTTGGTAAATACAAATGTTCAGGCTCACTGCTATCTTCCTTTTCGCCTTGGTCTAGCTGCGACACGTTCTGCATCCACTATACGGTCTCCCCACGATGCCATCTCCTCTTTCTGATAACAACGCCGACGGGCAGCCAACTGGTTCCACTCCAGTTCCCGAGTCAAGAGTCCCACGCAGCGGTAGTAGCAATTTGCTCACTGCCGTCGATGCGATGGACCCGCCTCGCACTGAGAACGTCTCCTCACCCAGTCGCATTGCTTCGCCAACAGTCATCTCAAGTAGTCCGTTCACCGGTGGGACGGTTGATTCACATCCCTCTGAGAACGTCACTCCACCCAGTCACAGTGTACCGCTGACGGTCAACTGGAGTCTGCCACGCAGGTCTCACTCATCGACCCAGTTACCAATCCCGAGGAGTACGAGGCACGACGTCAACATCGGCTCGGCACGATCCAGTCCACATGCGCAAGACGTGGTTGCGTTGCCTGTAATGACTCCACGAATCTTCACGGTGAGAAGATATACTGTGATTTTTTGGTGAGCACAACTGACTTTCCAGGATGACAACAATGTGTCGTCGCCTTCGAATCGTGACAAAGCTCTTCCCAGTCCACCAATGGCGCAGGCAGTAGACCCCAACAGTCCTCCGAAATCCGGACGCACATTAGTCGACTCTGATTTTGAGACTCCATCGAAAAGCAACTGGCCTATCCTGAGCCCCGACGAGGACGTCTCAGGAGATGCCTTGGAGCAGTCCAGGGACGATATTAACCATACTAATGCAGGAACTAGGATTTCATGGCAGAGCCAGCAGCAGCAGCAGCAGCAGACAAACCGTAGCGCATCAGTTGGAGTAGCGCCCAGAGAAAGTTCTAATCCGTTTGTGTACAGAAACCCAGAGTCTGCAATAGCAGTAGCGGAAGAAAGCGGCTCACCCACGGGGGAGATCGTTCTGCGGCGCCGACAGTCGCAACAGGCAGCGCGGTCTCGCATACTGAGCAGCAGGAACCCCTACGCAGGTTCACTGGCTACCATAGAGAGCGAGCTCGCTCGGAGGAGGATCTTAGCTGCGATCACCATCCCCAATCGCAATAGCTCGCTTCCTTCGAATTTGCGAGCTGTGGGCGGCAGCGAGTCGCCGGAAGTCGTTCTGGCCTGTGGTACTATCCTCCGCTTCTTGTCCCGGCGAGCCCCTGGCATTGGGCCTACGCTGAAAATATATCCAGATGCGGAATCCGTGCTCCGGGGACCGAGCGACCAGTTCGCAGAACTTCTACAATCGCCGTGTAGGAGCTCTGTGGACGGTCGTTCGGTCGTGTCAACGCCCGTACAGCCAATTCGAGGCATGCGTACTACACGCAGAAGCTTCACGCCAACTGCTTCGCCAAGTGTGTTACCCTGGTTCAATAAATCGTCATTAGTTTTGATTCACTAACAGTAAATGTAGCAGCATCAAACGGTCCATGGGGCTACCGGCGTATCGACACCAGTGCCTCAAAGGCACAATCTTCAGTCACTGGCGAGGTTGGCATAAACATCAACGGCGCAGAGCAACAGGAGCATGAGGCTCAGAGCAAGACCAACCCTAGTCGAATCTCAGATGAGCATGTCAGTAGCCGCAACGCCATTGTCCAACCCAGCATGTCCACTTCGAGCTCTGGTACAGAATCTCAAACTGTCAAGTCGTACGATGCGACTCGCGGCTATAGTCCTTCCAAGCCGATGGCCACAACAGATGTCAGATCAACCCAAAGCGACGAAAAATCTAGGCGTTTATCACATTTGAGCGACATCCAAGAGCTTGAGCAACGTATGCCGTCAGTCGGCGTAATTGATGCTCCACTTATTCACATAGTAGAAGAGTCCACGGAGAACAAGATCAAAGGCAAGCGCAGCTTCCGCGGCATAATACTTGGGCGCGAGACTAAGCATCCCGAACGCCGGCGGTCAAACATTCAGCACAAGCGTAGCTGGTACGGCAACACCAAGAGTAAACTCGTGAAGCGCATCAGCTCGACTGTTCTTTCGAAGCTTCACTCGTCCCAGTCCCAGACCCCTCATCCTGAAGCGAAATCCATGCTCAAGCGTGAGAGTAGGTCTATGGTCTCTCCTACTGCCGTCAATCGCCAAGCTGCACTGTCCTCTCTAGAGGCATTGTCCTCTTACGTACCGGGGAATGCAACGACTGCCACAGACCACGACGCAATCAAGGCACTAGTCAAGCTGACAGACCATGTCAAAGAGATGCCCACCGGGACGGCTGATCGTATGTGTGGTGTTCGGGTTGCTGAGGTATGTTTGACTTTGTTCTATTATCCTCTGTCCTTTTACTAACAGAATTCACCATCGAGGCTCTCCTGCAATCCATCGAGTGTTGCAGGAAGGCCGAGGAGAGCGCTGAAAAGGCAAGGGACTATGCCCATGATGCAAAGGTCCACGCGGAGCGAGGCCAGATGGAAGTTAACAACATCTTCACGAGGGGCACTTCGGTATGGGATGGCGAGACCCAGTCTCTCATCCAAGAGTACATCAGATCATCGGGCATTGATCGCTTGGCAGCTGAGAGGGAGGCTAGGGATGCATTGGAGGGCATCTGAGGCAAGTGGTATCCCTGTATGCATTCTCTATCCTGATACTAACCAGCTACAGTTCACATTCACCACACGTCCACTCCTGGGTCCCCTGTAATCTCCAAAACTTCCCAAGACTGAGGACTGTCGGATTGAAAATGCATGGTTGCGCAACACAGGCGCAGAAGATGTGGATTGAGGGGATACTGGGCCGTGTATAGATGCATCAAATGACAACGTATAGCACCCCAATTCATTCCCCCATGTCTCATAATTCTACACACACAGCCTAGATTTTACATGCCGCCACCAAACCTGGCACCACCTGCTGCTTGGCCGCCATTCGCCTCGCCCTGCATCTTCTCGCTAACCTTTACATTGACCTCGAAGAACTTGGCGACGCAGCGGTCAAGGCAGACGGATTCGCCTTTGTTGAGATCGGCTTCGCGGTAGGACGAGTCGATGCATTTCGCTGTGCAAGACTTGACTAACCTGTGCATTACCTACGTCAGCGCTCGAGTCTTTCCTCCAGGGTTGGAGAGGTAGTAAGTGTGATGGGGAAAAGGCAAAGTGAAAAGGCAAGAGAGGACGGGCAAAGACTAGACAAAAGAGCATACATAACCAACAAGAGCAGAATCAACCAGAACATGGGAATTGAAAAGAGAAACCAAAATTAATAACATACCGACTATACATGTCAGAAACCATATCAATCTCCGCCTCGGCCTGCGCAATCTTCTGCTCAGACGAGAGCTGTGGTTTGCCGCCGAACAAGAACGACATTTTCGTTTTCTTTCGAGATTAACCCGGATCTGCCGTGTATATGCGCAATTGGGAGTGCTGTGTGCGTGGTATGTGTGTGCGTGTATTAATGGGAGGGTTTGGGCGCTCGCTTTGTTGTTTGTGTCGGTGGGTTGTTTTTTTTGGCAGATTTTCGAAGATTGCGGTTGCGACCGATGATGTCGCGCTGCGAAGCTTGGGTTGGTGCGTGGTCTGTGCGTTTGGGGGAGAACTACTGTCATCCTCTTCTAGGTAGAGCTCTTCCATAGGCTGTGGTTGTTCTGGCATCATGGTCTGGATGTCTGCTGAATTCGGCCAACTATAAACTACTGCGGGCCGGGTCATTGCTGCTATGGATTACGTGCGAATCTATGGTGTGGTCTTGCGTATCGTTCTCCGCGCGTTTACTTCATTACGCCCTGATACTAACCAAGTAGTTGGTAGCGTTATACCAGTGTGCATCATACAGCACCACGAATCATGTAGGATAATGATATCATATGGCTGGGCTTGATACCTTTATTCCAGTCGTGACTATTGTAGCCACGGTATTCCGTGGGTGGAGTCTCGGCTAGAGCGGTCCAGGATAAGGGTGGAATTGATATCACTCTGCCATGACTCCCCGGGCTTCTGTGTCTGCCATTAGGGATTTGGTGCACTGAAGAGGCGTGTACTGAAGCGGCGGAGGGGAGGGGTGAACCAAGTGTAGGAAGTGTAGATATCGATATTTCATCATATTCAACGCTTAAAAGGTGATGTCTTGAAACTAGATCCCAGAGAACTGCTAGCAGCCGCGATGTACCAATATTGTCGCCGATACGAAAACACCAGTAGCTTCGCTGGACAGCGAGAGGCCACCTTTACCAGTGAGGTAGATCTACTTTTTAGGTTCAATTGACCAAGGAGAATAGCGAGATCTAAGCAACGGTATCGTCCTTGTCAGTATGAGAGTGGTGGAAAGTACACGACAGTAGGAATATGGGGCATTGTAGAGCTGCGAGTGATAGAGTCTCTCCCAATCGTCGTATTTTACATGTGGTTCGTTGAGCTGGAAGAAGCAATCCGGCTAAATACGGTGGGAGGAGTATGCAGCTGGCAGAGGGGACAGCAGCTTGCATGGCGAACACAGCACAATTATTGCAGACAGAAGCGGAATCAAGAAACATCATCGTTTCCGGAGTCTGGTAAAGATGGTGGAACTTTGAAGCGCAATGTTGGGTCATTGACCGTGGACATGGTGAAACCTAGTCCTAAAAGGGGCAAAAGTGGTAACGTGATTACGCGGTGCTCACGCGAGGCGGGGCTGCTGCCCGGTGAAAGCCTCAGCGTGCGGTCCCTCACCTTGCCCCTCGTATTCAACAAACTTCGATCGGCCTCAGCTTGCCCCTTGTATTCAACAAACTTCGATCGGCAATGCATAATTCTGCGACGACTGGTAGTGTGTCATGGCTGGTGACGAGTGCTGTCTACACTGCGAATCCCATCGCTGCGCGGGAACGGGTCGCAGCCAGGTTCCAAGGTTCAACGACAGTCGGCTCTTCGCAAGGGGATTTTGCCCCTCAGGGGCACGGCAAACCGCTTCTCGACGGAGTCTTCAGTCAACAGCCGTGTGTGTTTGATTCGTGTATTTGAGCGATGAGCGGATGGTGGCTGTAGCACAGCTTCGTTGGCTTGCTTCTCATCAAGGATTCCTAGATCGAATTCAGGGCCAAAGCTTCAGCTGTGCCTAGAGTACGTACCGAGGACAATGAAACCTTGCCGGCGTGCGCAAGGGAGGCGTCGATGGGACGAAGCAAAATCTCAACGCAGATACATCAAACCACACATACGCTTGAAATCGACAGGGACACCGTAAGTGCCGAGACAATGCGAACGCTTTTCTGTTCTGATCTTTGCAGCTGCTTTTACCCTCTGTATACTTGAGACATGGTAAACGCACGGCCTACATACTTACCTACGCTATCAGGCCTTCGCCCTTGGTCCTCGTTCCACAAGCCCTTGCACAAGCGCAACAACAAGGTCCAGGTCTGGGGGCTTAACCGGCCTCCAGACTGACTCTTAAGCCCCAATCAGGTTAGGAAGAACATGTGATACCGCGACGCGTTCGTTAGGTGCATGTACGTGTCCAATCGCGTCTGCTTCATCTTGCCCATGAATGCTGGGCCTGATAGCGGCCTCCGGCGAGGAGTCGGCTATATATACATAGCTGTGTCCACGTAGTGTTGGCCTGTTGTCGCTGTTCTCCGTTTGACAACACGTCTGCCTGAGGAAAATTTCCCCCTGTTTTGCTTGCGTCCTGATTTTTCTGCACTGGTTGCCTGTGGAACAAAAGATACACATATCGCAGGCGCCTGGATACTAATAGTCAAAATCCATCGGAGGTCGGCTTTGATCATCCAAAAGTCATCATGTTTTCATCGAGCCGAACACGCTATCAGGAAGGCAGCTTCTCGAAACACCGAGCAAGCAAGTCAAAGTCGTCTAAGAAGAATCCCTCCTTCCGAGACTCCCCAAGAAAGGTAGAAAGACTTGTGCAACAGGCTCAGGTATCATCACCACACTCTAATCAGACATCGCCAACACTTGGGAGGTGAGTATTCGCCTTCATACTTCGTCGACGAGTCAGTGACTAATGATCCCACTAGTGCAATCATCACAATATCGATCGGCCATGAACAGCGACTCTTCGCAGCCCATGAAGACGTTTTGTCGCATTCGCCTTATCTCCAAGTCGCTTGTCAAGGCCAGTTCTTCCAGACAGCCAACAAGCGCATCGATCTACCCGATGAGGACCCTGAAGTCTTCTCATCAATACTCGAGTACCTGTACAAGGGTGACTACTACCCTCGCATGGAGTATAATAAAAAGCGCAACAGCTGGAATCTTGAGGATGATTGTACCGGCAACGGCAACAACGAAGCCGTAATCCAGTCTTCTGTCGGACCGATCTTGAAAGATACCGTCATCTACTGTCAAGCTGACAAGTACGGTCTGGAAGAGCTGAAGAAGCTTGCTCTCAAGAAGCAAGGTCTCCAATCTGGCATTCAGTGCTCGACCATACTCACGTCTGCTCGATTCGCATATGCCAACACTCCCGACACCGACTCCAAGTTGCGAGCTCACTATCTTGCTCTCATAATTCGAGCCCGACACACATTCAAGCGCAGCGGCACAATGCAGAACGAAATGGAACAAGGCGGCAAGCTGTTCTTCGATCTCTTTGTGGCCATGGTCAACCACATGGACGACCTATCACAGAGGTCGCCTCACTATTGATGGCTCTTGTCATGTCGATGCTGGTGAACGATTCATCAACGCCGTTTCGACCCCTCCTATTGTCATGTCAACTCTCATTGATCATGTATTCATCGGATTTGGAACACAACCCCATTCTTTTAATGACCTTTAGAACTCCTCGCACACGTCGTCATCATCATTGATACCTCTCACTTCTTGTATATTTACTCATGTCTTTTGCTTTACGGTCCTCTCTTTATCGTTTCATTCATTACTAATTTGCGCAAGGCGTTATGTTTGGGGCGGGTCGCCTAAACACAGGTTTTGGCCATGTATTTGTACTCTAGTTCCCAGTTCACCTCAGGCTCTAACGTCTGGGCTGTTTCTCTTTTTTGACAAACGTTCAACCTCACGAAATCGTTGAGATCATACAGGCCAAGTTGTCCTTTGCGGTCTCTGTTCCCCTACAAGAAAGGCAAAACCACACCAAATTGCCCGTGGAACGTCAGCGCATCTGCTGTTCTCTTATTCCCGTTCTTATTATCATCACGATCAAATTGTATCACTGATAGCTATGTTTTGATATCTCCCGCGCTAGAACAAGATTGGGAAATGCATATCTACACAATGATGAAACAGACTGATGTTTCTAAGTCGAGCACTCTAAACACTACCGTCTTTCAGATTCATTCTCCCTCTATTTTCGTTCTCCTGTCAGACAACACAACCACAACCCCAAACTCACCCAAGAGCCACAATCCTTGGCTGACCTCATTGGTCGGAACTCGGCACGATGCACCTCACACAGCCCATACTCATTCACCAAGACACCAACATATATACTGCACTTGCTACAACCAGCTCCATGTCCACAGTAAAAACAAGTTCCATCACACTTGGAATGAACTAAACAAACCTCTGTTCCTTTTTGTATTGTATGACAAACCACCTGCATCCTTCACTTGACCTACCAGACCCAGCCCTCCACCCAACCCAACCCAACCCAACCCAAACCATGGAGCGACCCCCCCGACACTCCATCCAAAACATATCCGCCAAACGCGCTGGCGGGAAAAAAGTCCCCAGACCCTATCGCAAGTACCACAACCAAGCGCATCGGAAGAAGACCACGAACAAAGAAGCCGGGCATGTCGCGGCCAAGGCTTCGAGTTTCTTTGTTCGGGCTACGAGGGCTGCGTTTGAGGCGTTGAGTTAGAGGGTATGGCGGACTGTTGGGGATGGAGGATTGCGAGGCGTAGGGAGGGGGTGGGGTTGCGGGCAGCGGGAGGGTGCGTGCGTGTATGCATGCGTGTATGAGTTGGCTGAATAAGGGATGATAGGTGAGGGATATGGTACCGCAAGTAGCTGAGCTGATTCAGGCTCGCATGTGTACGCGGCAAGCGAGCAGGATAAAAGAATGGCAAGGCAAGAGCCATTCAACCCAGGGCACCTAAATTGAGCCGCTCAGAGACTGTCGTGGAACTCTCCTCCGATTGAGAATTGGCAGTTGTTGGCGTCATTCGAAGTCTCCAAGGACCTGAGACAGGTTTTAAATTCTAAGATGGCTTGTTCAGGCGAGGATTAGAATTTAGTGGAGCATAGGTGAGGCAGCTAGCCATGTAACTAACACAGCTGTTTTTGGCCTAGTTCTTAGTATATAAATGGACTTAGCACAAATCTCTAGCGTAGCACACCATATCCCTGTCAAATCACTCTAGTTCCGCGCCGGATTGTGCAGTTGCAACCCCTCCCCTCACTTTCAATTTAACAAAGGTATACTCTATGTTAAGGCACACTCTTCCATCAATCAGATCATCCCAGATCGTATAGTGGTCAGTATTTCTGCTTGTCATTGCCCTGAAAAGCAGAATCGCAGGAGACCTGGGTTCAATTCCCAGTCTGGGAGCTTATACCACATCTTTTTGCTTTTCTTTTTGCTTTTTTCTGAAATAGTCGCCACCGCATTTTTGCGCGCAGTTAGGTACATAACGTGAGACACCGCATCTATGTTATAACGCTCGCTGAAGGACAAGAAATCAGCTAATCCGTGTACAAAGATCAACTGCGCGATTGCAAGTTAGATATCTCGGCTACATGAAACTTATTTGGGGAGAAGGTTGCTTTACGAAGTATTAGCATCATGCACATGCTTTCTAAGGTGCTGGTGTTCATGCACCCCACCATCAGCTAGTCTCTTATTTTCGACATTGTTCACAAGTCAAGCAGCGGGTGAGCACTGATGGAAAAATTCAGGCACAAAAGTCCGGCTAAGATTAACCAACCGCCCAAGGACACGAGGGAACCGTCCCCATCCCACCTCCCCTGCACTCCTAACCATGGACTGAAATCGAATAAACCCCTCGCACTAGGCTAAAAAAGCCAACTTCAATCACAGTCACATCAGAGTCACAATCACAGGGGCAAGGGCAGCAATCTAACAACGCGATATCAGCTGATAGGGCGTACTCGCGTCTGTGCGTCGACGCGGGCGGTGGGCGCGCTGCTACTTGAACTATTGGGTCGCGGCGCGGCCTATATCCGATGTCTTTGTTTCACGGAACCTTAAGGGCGAGGTTAAGATGCAAGGAGGGAGAGGGACTGGGCCGTCTTGGACTAGAACCCGTATTGTAGTTTTCTTTATGAGTAATATTTAGGCCGTTTTACTTGTATTAGAGCTTGGTATTTGGTGGGCTGCTGATGCGTTTTGCGCTGGGAATAACAGCCTCCTTCATGAGATGCGGCCACCCAGTAGTATGATGTGGGTGTACTGCGTTGGGTATCATGACGGCCAAAAGGATGATGATTTCAGGTATCGGACAATCAGACCCCTGTTCCGGGAAAGGCACCTTTTTTGTTCAGGACTACCATGCCATGTTCACGGGAAATGTAGCCCTTCATCAAACCCTGCAATAGCGTTAAGAAAGATCAGAAGCGGAGCGCAGGCCTCTGTGTACATACCTTGTAGATCTGGTTGGCCAGTAAACATTCCACTTCATCGTCCTCCACGGCTTGGCCGCTGCCTTTACCTGCAATACCCATTCTAAGCGCAGCGGCGAAGTTCGCGAGCGGTATCCTTGACTTGCGTATCCTGTCCTTTTCTGTTTGTCCCTCTTTGAGATCGTCGTAGCCACCTGCAAGGTAGACTTTCCTCAATAGATTTCGCAGAGCGATGTCTCGACTTCGTTCTAATGTGAGAAAAATACGCCGTTTTACAAACTCTGGCTCGCCTTCGGCGAGCGCTTTGTCGAAACCTGTAAGATCTCCCCGCTTGATGCATGCTACGAGTGGTCCGAATATGCGTTCGAGGCGAGGAGCTTCGGCAAGAAGTCGAGCGGTAGGAACTTGGTGTTGTGTGATGAGGCGACACGGAATCAAATAGGTCAGGATCAGGCTAATGCGATCAGTATGCATTTTACGTCTGTCATATCCAAACTTACGACTTGTTTTGCTGTGATCGCGACCAGCAGGACTCCCAGGCCTCCTGTAAGCTCTCCTCGGCCTGTAATTTGTCAGAACAGGGTTGTACCATGGTTCATTCGTGCATACTTTTGCATAGTCTTCCTGCAAAAACGCCAATACCCCAGTGTAGTATTTGTACGTCACTCTGTGTGCTCGTGGGTAGAGGTCGAAGGGAGGGAGGTCGGCTTGTGCTTGTATGGATCGGACGACATTTTTTGACAGACTGATGGCTTTTAACTACAGGGTTCAGATCAGCCATTGTTTCTGATGCATGTTCAACATGTGTCTTACCTTGAAGTATGTCTTGAACTGCAGATTGGCAATGCAATAAACTCCCCACTTTCGAGACACGGACATGTCTGGGTTCCTGGGTGCGGGTCAGATGGAAGAGAGATAAGAGGAGCATTCTAGCATACCTGTCACCAAGACATAGAGCAAAAATGCGGTTGAAGACTCGTGCTGCTTCCTCCAGCTTCTGGTTTTGTGCCACTGAACTCACGATATCGTCCGAGTAGCCAGTGTTGAATGTCACTGGCTTCGACTTGGCCAAGAACTCGTCTGCTTTGATCGCAATCTTCCTAAGGTGATTTGCCGTGAAATATAGTGTGAAGATAGCCCATGGTGGCAGTTGTCCGGCAGAAATGTGTTTGATAAAACTACTGGTCAAGTCTTTCCAAGTGTCATACACTGTAACGTATTGACGATCTGCGAGCCGTCCTTGGTTGGCAGCTTCGTCGGCCTTTATAATCTCCCTGACTGCGCGCCAATAGCATGCGATGATCTCGACCCAGGCCCCGGCTTCCTTGTTGGACATGCGCGTGTTGTTTTTGTTTGATTTGAGCGCATATCTAATGTCGCCTTCAATCTTGTCGTCGTTTGACGCTCGATAGAAGTCATATAGCCGGCCTGGATCATGAGCTGGCGCAAATGGGCTCAGAAAGCTGGCAACAGGTTGGGCGAGGCCTGAGGTGTAGGCCTCGTGGAAAGGCACCAGTGCAGCTTGCATAATTCCGCTGTGTGACCTGGCAATGAAGTGAAGTGGAAATTCCGCCTCGCCGAAATTGTATAATCGTGCGCAACCAGCCGTTCGTGTTTCAAGCTTTGAGCATGGTTTCCAACGGCCTTATCCCAAACGCTCGAGGTTGTGATGTTGGTGGTGGAGCTCAATGGCTTACGTCGGTAGTGTCGCTGTTGTCGGTGTTTGCGGCTGTTTGCACGCCGACGCTTGACCCACATCATTCTCGCCTGCCTGCCAAGCAATGATGGCTTCCATGTTGGGCTAGCGCGCACGAAGAAGCGAATTCGACGGCCGGGCGTCCACACAGCCCTCGATTGACCGACTTCCAATTCCCAACTTCAAGGGTACTAACCTCGCAGCACAACAAAGGTCAGTGAATCTTTCTTATTGCTGATATTGCTATCGCTAACAGAAAAGCAGATGGGTAAGCAGATTCTTTTTCCCCCTCCGCAGTCCCTGTCCCGCCAGCAATTGCAGTCCCATGGAAATTTCGATCAAGCCCTGCGCAAACGAACTACGGCCTCTTACCATGGCGATGGTTGTGCAAAAAGAAAGCGGTTACTTGGATGAGAGTGGATAAGGATATTCGCTCGATATTGGCATACTGGAAGTTCTTGGAGAGTCGCTGTAGGGGTGTTGAAGAATTTCGTCAACCGACCGTCGCGAAAGCCGATAGCCCACGGAATGTCGCTCAAGTACCACCATATGCCCAGCTCGCGCCAACTCCGTCTTCTTGGGACTATAACTCGTGGATAAAAACGCTATGAGCATTGTACAATCATACTAACACTGTCACAGCTCGCTTCCAGGAATACCAGATCATCGGGCGCCATCTGCCCTCAGAGGCCAACCCAGCCCCCAAGATCTACCGCATGCGTATTTTTGCGCCCAACGAGGTTGTCGCCAAGTCACGGTTCTGGTACTTCCTTGGTAAGCTCCGCAAGATCAAGAAGGCCAACGGTGAGATCGTCTCCGTCAACCAGGTGTGTACCAAAACCATTTGTCGAGGGCTAGGACTTGTAACCTAACAACTATCAGATCCACGAGAAGCGCCCCCAGAAGGTCAAGAACTTCGGTATCTGGATCAGGTACGACTCGCGCTCCGGTACCCACAACATGTACAAGGAGTACCGTGAGATGTCCCGTGTCGCCGCTGTCGATGCTCTCTACCAGGATATGGCCGCCCGTCACCGATCTCGTTTCAGGTCGGTACAGGTACGTTGTTGAAGCATCCAGCAAATATCCCCCTTCTAACACAATGGCAGATCCTCAAGGTTGTTGAGATTGAGAAGACCGACGATGTCCGCCGACCATACATCAAGCAGCTCCTCGTCAAGAACCTCAAGTTCCCCCTCCCCCACCGCATCAACAAGAAGGCCGGCAAGAAGATCTTCTCCTCCACCAGGCCATCCACTTTCTTCTAAGCGTGTTTCTCATTACGGAGTGCGGTCTGGATGGGCAGGGACAATATGGGTTTCCCTTGGTTATGCATGCTTCACGAAAAGAAGTACATTAGGAACGAATGAAATTCCCTGATACCTCCATTCGAGTCGTCGAGTCTGTGATGCATGTTGGGAGGAGCCTAATGATGTACATGGGAGTGTGGACAGGAGCCTAGAGCGACCAAGACAGGCATGCCTGTAGGACATCGCCGATGCGACAAATGTTAGACAATGAAGTCATGCAACGAATTCGTATTCATGGCTCCTAAAATGCTCATATGTGTTTTATCCATTGTCTGGACTACTTCGTATAACTTGAGGTTTAGCAAAGATTTTTTCCCCTCGACACTACGTCACAAGCTCGCTATGCATACTGACTGCAATTGCGTTTATTCCATATGCCTGTTCCTTTGGACGTTGGCCAACGATAACACACATTCGACGAAACCCGATCGCAAGTATTGTCAGGAACCGTACACGTTCATTGGCGCAAGCGCGTGGCCAGTCTGAATTCTTACCGCCTTCGCATCGACGTCGAACACCAATTCGGGACCTCGGTCCCCGTCTCCCCGCATCACATCAACTCCTCCGAAAACGATGGAGTAGGCTATATGGCCTTGCGCCTTACCTGGCGCTCAAACATAGCTTTCCTTCTTCATCAACCTCACTAACCCCCAGTTTTACTCGTCCTGGTTCTCTACAAACTTAGGTCCTGACACCCTTTCCCTCCTCAACTCCAACCTACATCTTCATCGCCGCCGCATCACACGCCCACCACCATTTTACACCACACACGCGCCTACAATAATCCACTATGCTATCCCGCGCCCACCCGCCCATTTCCCTCCCCACATCCTACGACACCCTCCCTTTCACCCAAATTCGCACCGCCCACCATCCCCCAGAACCCAGCATCATCATCCTGACCCTGCACCGCCCGGGCCACCACAATGCCTTTACCGACACGATGCGCGCAGAGATGGAGACGGCGTATGCAATGTTCGATGTGGATGACCGGGTGAAGTGTATAGTTTTGACAGGGAGTGGGCGGATATTTTGCGCGGGGGCGGATTTGGAAATTGGGTTCGGGAAGGGGAGGGATGGTAAGGATGGGGAGAGTGTGGGGGAGCATAGGGATGGGTGAGTTTTTGGGATTTGGTGCCCTCTTTCTTTCTGCTTGGTTTTTAACTAGGTGGGCTGGGAATCGAGAAGTTTGCTTTACTTTACGGTTCCTTCTCTTCCCTCCATGTCGCTCAACACGCCCTCCTACACCCCATCCCCCATACTCCACCTCTTAAAAAAACCCAACCTAACACCCCCATCCCCTAGCGGCGGCCGTGTCTCCCTCGCCCTTCACCACTGCCGTAAACCCACCATCGCCGCCCTCCAAGGCTCCGCCGTCGGCATCGGCATCACCATGACCCTCCCCGCAAACATCCGCATCGCGCATGCCTCAGCAAAGATCGGCTTCGTCTTCGCCCGCCGCGGTCTCGTCATGGAAGCCGCGTCGTCCTTCTACCTGCCCCGCTTAATCGGCTATTCGCGCGCCATGCGTGCCGTCACCACGGGCGCAACCTACCGCGCCGACGATGCGATTTGGGACGGCCTGTTTGCTGAGACGCTGGGGAGGGCTGAGGATGTGTTACCCCGCGCGCTCGAGGTGGCGGGCGATGTGGTGAGGAATACGAGTGCGGTCAGTACGTATTTGATGAAGGAGATGATGTTTAGGGATGCGGGGAGTCCAGAGGGCCAGCATTTGTTGGATTCGAGGGTTATCTTTGAATTGTTTGGGAGTCCGTGAGTGGTTTCTTCCTTTTCGTCGTTTCCTCTTTCGCTCTTTTCTTCGGGATGGTTGCAATCGCACCTGGTGTGGAAGCGTAGTTGCTAACGGATGAAATAGGGATAACACGGAGGGTGTGCAGTCGTTCTTGGAGAAGAGAGAGGCCAAGTTTACGGGGACACTGGATGATACTAAACTGACTCAGTATCCATGGTGGATGCCTTTGGACATCCTGGGGAGGCCCAAGGTAGCTCCCATGGGAAAGCCGAAGATTTGAGGGAGCGAATGCAAATAAATTAGAAGTATTGTCGGAGATTCTCGGAAAAGAAATAAACTTTTTCTACTAACATACTGGCAAATCATCGCAACTCCTCTCTTGTACGCTCTCATTCCATCTCACGTCCACCACATTGCCAGTCGGCTACATGCCCAAAATTATACGTTTATCTTGTTCGGGAAAATCGGTAGACTCCATCAAGTCGACTTAGTATGACATATCGACATACGAAGAAGCACCACAGATCGACTCTCGTTGTTTGTTCAGACTGCCGCAGGGTCGTTGATGCCGCCGTTGGTAATGATGTAAGTCGCTTCCTTCTCGGGCATATCTATCAGGACGGGTCAGCCATTCTGCTCGATATCCAGATCACAGAACATACCTGGGGAATCCTGTATCTTTGCCACTCGCTCTTCGCCGCGACCTTTGCGGAGCAAGATTCGTGTAGCGGAAGCGTGTGCGAGGATATGACCACCGACTGGCTTGCGACCATCAGCACCAGCGAAGAGAGCACTGGCTCCTGGATCACTCTGGACCTGGTTGGTCAGGAGCACCGCAACATTGAATTCTGCCTTGAGTTAGCAGGGGATGCAACCAATTATGGGTAGACACCGTACCTTCAGCTACATGTGTCAACTTTGAGAGGAACTGATTGAGCTTCTGTTGGCGTTCATTGAGCTCGCCACGGCCAGTATAGTCAACACGGAATAGAGCCATGATGCTGTCAATGATAAGCAGACGGTATTCGTTGCCGACGAAGAACTCTGCGACCTTGTTGAGTAATTCCATCTGATGCTCGGAGTTCACAGCGCGAGCATAGGTGATGTTGTCCTGGGCTGTACATTGTAAGTACGATGAATGTGCTTAAGACTGGGTAAAATACCAGCATCTGGATCAACACCAAATCTCTCAGCGATTTGAGCAATCCTTTCAGGTCTGAAGGTACCTTCTGTGTCTGTGGAAAGTCCTTAGCAAGTCCCCTCCTCTACGGTGATATTCCATACCAATATATGCAACCTTGCCATCTGCACCACCCATATCCTTTGGAAGCTGGGCAATGACCGACATGGTGTGCGACAATTGGGTCTTTCCGCAGCGAAATTCGCCAAAGACTTCGCTGATACTCATCGTCTGGAAACCACTGTGCATTGTCAGGACTAAACCAGACTACATTCGATCGAGGCAAGATTCACCCTCCGAGCACAGCGTCAAGGGCTTTACTTCCCGTAGAGATTCTGATAACGCGCTTCCGGTGCTGGCCGAGCTCCTGAGCAGTCTGAAAACCACCTCCGGAAGGCTGTATAACGTGTCAGAAATCATGTACTCAACTAAGCCAACTTTGCCCTGTCACCACCTAGCCTATCCAGATCGCTACGTCCAAGAGGAGAAGTATCACGCACCAGACACTTTCCCAACGCATCCTTGACTTTATCCACCTTGATCTCACTAAACCCCTTGATCTTGAGCAAGTTCCTCCGCGTCGCAGAATGCACACTCGCAATCGTGTAGTACCCATTCGCCTTGAGCTTCGCAATATCGACCGCGCCGATACCATGAGCTTGTATAGCATCGACATCGACGATAAAACCGTCCTGTGTAACAAAAGTATAGTATCAGTTACTGTTTCACGGCCCTCAACGCTGTGACGGATGGGTCCAGTGCCAAAGTAATAGTACCGTGCAGAGTCAACCCAATAAATACCAGGCAGAGAAACCAAAAGACAAAAGCGAAGAACAGGGAGATATTACATCATTATTAGACTCCTCACTCGCAACCGAAGAAGGTGCCATGACGATGATGATATCCCGGTCAGTGTCAGAATCGCTGTTGAGCGGTCGATACAACCGCCTATGAAGACGAGCTGGAGAGAACGATGCAATGAATGCATAGAGTGAGAGAGAAGTCTAAGGGCAAAAGGAAGATCCTGCAAGGTTTTTGGTTATGAAGAGGAAGGCACGATAGATGAGACGCGCCGTGGACGCGAGATCACGTGGTTGATCATAAGGTGGAAGGCACGGTTGGCGTGAGAATCTGACATGGATTCTTGGGCACATTGGATATCTGGAGATTTGGAGCTGCTCTTTTGTACTGACCACGCAATAGTGAACATGTACCTATGTCGGTTCTCCATGGTGGTGCGTCTGTAGATTGTGTACATGTCAACCAGGCAACTCATTCGCTGTCTTCGGGCACAGGACTCGCTAAGCACCACAACGCACATGAAAGGTATACTAGGCACAAACAGATCGTTCAAATGTATACATGTTGATGACATATTACCAGTCACTGCATGAAAACGAAGAACTATATAGTGATTTATGGAACAAAGGCAGATAAAGCTGCCACCTCAGCTCCGACAAACAGACACATAAACCTCACTGCTCCTCATGCTGCCCCCAGTTCCCTCCACAACTTCCCACTACCACTGACACCACAGCCGCCTTCCCGGTCCATCGGCGAATCTCATCAGACCCAAACACACGTAGGTAGCAACCTGCAACAACTAACGGAGCTGGCCAACCTACAATGCATGCCGGGATCAAGAAACGCAGTCTCAACTTGCCAAGCCGTCGTCTGTTCGAAATAATGGTAGAATGGTTGAAGCAAGATAAGGAATATAACGTTTGTGGGTATCAGCGTGGGAATCGTGAAACTTTTGTCTTGCTCGTTGATGATTCGTGAAGTCAAGGAGTGTGTCGGATGTGATGTTGAAAAGGCCAAGAAACGATTGTGTTATGCGTATGGTAAAAAGAAACTGTCGAGTAATTGTGAAGAGGGTTGATTGGTTGCTGTGATTCTACTCGCAGCAACATTGGACTTTGGCCGTTGCTCGCCGCCTAAGCGACAGCAGTGGTCGGCACAATGGGCTGGACAGCAACGGGAGCAGATGCACCGGCGGCAGCGACATCGCCGTTGACCTCGGGTTGAGCGCAGTCACGGGAAATATGACCAGTCTCGCCGCAGCGGTAACAGGTCTTCCCAGCGGTGTTGAGAGGGCCGCCGTTGGGCGCTGTGCAATCGCGGGAGATGTGGCCTGTCGTCTGTTAGCCACAATGCCTTGTCACCAGGCCAATGTACTCACCCAACTTGCCGCAGGCATAGCACTTCATGGCCTGAGCCTGGCAATCGCGGGCGAAATGGTTAGGTCCGCCGCACTTGTAACAGGTAGCAGGGCGAGCGCCGCCAGCGAAGCCGCCCCTGAAACCTCCTCCAAAGCCACCGCCACGCGGGGGCGCGCCAACTCCACGACCTCCCATTCCTGGGTTTGGGCAGTTGCGGGCGAGATGGCCGGACAGACCACAGCTGTAGCAACGTCCGCTGGTGCCAGCTCCACTCAGGCGGAGAGTTGGGCAGTCGGCCTGAACGTGGCCGAGTCCCTGGCAGTGGTAGCACTGCTTGGCTGCCATGTGTCAGTTCCTGGGTCTTGCAGTGGGTGTTGCGAGAGCTATCGCCAGTGTGCCAGAGTTGTGCGTAAAGCGAGGCTTTGGGCTAGCGCAAGGCAAGGTGTGGGTGGTAAAACGTACTCTCAGTGGTGCGTGGATGAGGGCAGCCATTGGACTCGTGGCCGGGCTGCTTGCCTTGTATTGGGTCAGCGATCACTCATAGTGGTCCGGAAGAGTATCGCCTTACAGTTGTAGCAGAGCCTCTCCGAGGAGGAACACACTTCTGTAATTCCATGTTAGTCGCATGCTCGATTTCGAAATGTTGCACAACGCCGACCACACAATGCAGGAGCCACGAACAGAAACGCCGACCGGCAACAGGCTTCCCGATCCTGTCTCGCTGCAGTGTGCGCCAAAGCCAATGCGCTGGTGGAGCTCTTACCAGCATAGTGTCCTACGTTTCCGCATTTGAAGCACGCGCGACGTGATAGAGACGACATGGTGCTTGATTCCTTCCTAACGATCTAGCACAGGTATAAGCATCCAAGCCATGTGCTGTTCTGGGTGCGAGCGAAGAGGTGTGGATCGATGGTGAACGTTGGGATAGACCCAGGTGGTCTGTGAGCGCGCTGCGTTGACTCTGACGTCTGCAGGTCCAGCCATTTGCTGGCGAGCGCAGGAGGGGAGAGGGGGGAGGGTTCTCGTCGACGGGGTTAGGGCATTAGGGGCGCAAGTACCTGCTTCCAGCTTCGAACTTCTTCAATTTCCTTCACCTGCGTTTTGCTATTAGTCGCAGATTTTTCGGGAGCGGTCGAGGGGTTGGGCGATGGATAGGACGCCAGGCGCAGCCGTCACAGACGATAAAGCGCGAGGCCAGAGCGGGGGCGCAACGTACTTTCTAGCTTCCTAACCTTCCCTCAGCGACACTGCTGCGACCGACCTCCGAAATATCTGAGTTGTGGTTGGAATTTGGTGGTTGTAAGAAAACACCAAGGCGCGAGGCAAAAAGGGAACCTGTTAGGCCTTGGATCAATGGGCAGCCGTGGTCCCTGCCGCGCTAACAACAATGCGCAATTTGTGTCCTTTCCGAGGTCGACTGCACGCAACGGCCCTGGAAGCGGGCCAGATGGTCCAATCCCCATGGCCTGCAGGATGAGCGGCCTTGCCCAATTCCATTTAGACACAGTCCGGCCTCCTATCACACTGCAGCTGTTGTGTCATTAAGCGGGAGACTAGAATCGAGGGGGAAGTGAGCGGCAACAGCGGGGCGGGCGGGGGACTCGGAGGGAGGGAGGATGGTCGTTTAAATGCAATCAAGCCCAAGCAAGCACCCAAGGAGCCGCATGAACCTTTTCAGATTGCACATACTATTACTCTATACTATACACATACTCTAGGATCCCACCCCTGACTAGGTAAGTCCATGGAATCCTGCAAACAGTACTCAGTGCACCGTCATCCCCCAATGCGATACTTGACAACACCACGTACACTCCTCACCACTGCCAGCACTTGGGTATACTGTTATTCAGCGCCCAAGACAGCTTGAGCCTCGTGTGGGTGACGTCAGACTCTGGCACTGCTTCGGCGTGGCAATCGGGAATCAGTCGACACCTAACCACCAGAGTATAGAGTACAGAGTGCATGCATGCATGCATGAATGGCCTGACGTCTTGGCGACAAACATACCTACTGTACCTAGGTACCGTTTCGCAGTCGGAGATGGCTGGAAAAAGGCATGAAGTGGTTGTTAGTCGACTGACTCTGTTTTGCATCTTCCAAATCATCATCACTTTGTGCATGTCCGCGCTCCTCATGGTAAACTTTTGCATTGATTCTCATTTCATGTTTCCAATCTGCAGATATCACAAGGATGCATTCGGCCGTGTCGTCCCAAAAAGCAGGTTGCCAGGTGCAAGTATGCCGAGTTGAGCCTTGATTGCCCTCCAGTCTGGAAGCGCTTTAAACTTCTAGTCCCGAGGCTCCTCAGACTCAATCACTGCAGGCGCTTTGATCGTGCGCGCCTTGAGGAAGTCGAGGCCTTCTCCGCCCTGTGACCAATGTCAGTGGATCATCAGCATGTACACGGCTCTCCTGATAGACTTACGTAGGAGATGAGTGGTGACACTTCGACGCCCGCCTTGGGATCTTCGCTCACAACAGTAGCTCCCGCAGCTTGCACCCACTTCTTACCCTGGCTCATGATGTCCTGCTTGCTCGTATCTGGGTCATCCTCGCCAGTTCCCCTCGCGTTCTTGAGAGGTGAGAACTCGTCCTCACGCTTGACCTCCATGCATGCAAACTTGTCAAGTGTAAGGAATGGGAAACAGTCAAATACAAACTGCTCCAACTTGATGCCATTTGGCTTTTCCGGCTTAACAGTCTCGCCAGTCTCCGTATCGACATGTGGAATCTTCTTGCGGGCAATGTGGTGGGGCAGCTTCTTCGCCCACTCGGGAATGCTCTCAAGGAAGCTGAATGAATAATAGTGGTTGACAATGTTGGCGGCGCGGAACTTCAGTAGCTCAGAGTCCTTGGGATCCTTCGCTTCGGCGTCTTCGGTAGAGATTTCGCTGTATTCCACAACGTCGGGCTTTCCATTCTTCTGCAAGATAAGGCCCACCGATTCTTTCGCATTACGCTTGCGAACGACCTTGGTGGCAATATCGACATTCTTCGATGCCGAGAAACCAATGAAGACAGGGTCTGCTACCTTGACAAGGCAGTTGTCGACGCAGTAAGCGTGGATGTGTTTGATTCCTCGCTTGCCCATATCTTGGACAACGCCAGACTGGATCAGAGCCTGGTAAAGACCTCCGTTGCCATCAGGAGCGACAGCAACCTTGGACTTGCTCTCGAGCAGGATCTTGCCTTCATTTGAAATACATGGTAGAACACCTTGCTCAAAGATCACGACGTTCTCCTTCTTGAGGCCGAAGAAATTGTGTTCCTCGAAGAACTTGGCAGTGGGTCCTCGAGTAGGTCCACTGGTCATGACATACCAGGGAATGATGACGCTGTCCTTGCCATGCTTCTTTGCTGCTAGCAGCTCCGCTTTCTTGATTCTTTCACCCTGTAGCTGGAAAAGGCTCTTCTTACTGGGGAGCCCAATATCAAAGCAGCCTTTGGGCGCAGAGCTACCCAAGCGTGTGCCCTGGCCACCAGCCATCAAGACGACGGCTACCTTGTTCTCCGCGATCAAAGCTAGACCACTTTCATACCATTTGTCGAGGTTCTCCTGCGAAGAGTCGAGGATGGAAGATGTGGCATCTTGTGGCAGCGGCTCGAGTTTATCAGCTTCGGTGGACTCTGACTTGGCGGGGTGCAGTGCACGCTCGGTGATTTCGTTGATGTAGTCGGGATTGAAGTTGCTCAGTTGCTCGAAAAGGCCGGCCCTCTCAGCGGTAGAGAGCTTGTCGTAGAATGCCTATCATTCATCTGAAGTTAGCATAAAAGGAAGCTTCATATAAGTGGCCTCGAGGGAGTGCGTGTAGTGTTCCTTCCAAGAGCACCTGAATGGCGGTGACGCGTACAAAGACTTGTTCCTGTCCAGCCTTCTCATACTTGGATCTCAACTGATTGAACTCCTGCTCAGAGGGCTCCTTGACGGAGGCACCTTGAGCAGACCCTCCTGTAATGTGAAGCTTCTCGAGCGCACTGTGGATAGTGTCCTTAACAGCCTCCATGATGTTGTTTTGGCGGGGCAATGGTGGGGTGAAGGCAAGGGTCTTGCTGCCGACAGTACTTGAGCTGGCAGTACGATTCTGAGTGATTGTGCAAATGGCAGAGAAAAAGAATAGCAGAGAGCTCCTCTATGACAGTGAGCCTTGTTCAAGACTGCGGAGGAACTGAATCTGTGCCTGTTGAACTCTGCCAGCAGCTCTAACGCCCGCACTGCCCCACTCCGTCCCTTCTCATCGCACATGGAGCACAGGCCTTGCCAAATACGTCAGAGGCCAGGCGGAACCATGACCAAAAATAGCACACCCGACACAGTTCAATACGAACATGGGAAACATTTGTTATTCATTGAACTTCGTAAGTTATGCTGCTACCGATGCTGAGACTAACCCTCGCAACGACCAGTCCACCAACGCCAGAATCGTCAAAGGCAATTACCGGTACCGGGCAGCGAGCAAAAAGTCCCGCTGCATGCTGCACGTAATGCGGCGCAATTGCACTGCATACACCAAATGTCTACAGCGCATGTAGGACCCCAAACGCCGTGAGAATGCGAACTTTATGCGTGTCCATTGACGCCATTAGCGTCAACTTTTTCTGCCTGCTGTTCCTCGATTGACTTCAGTGACTTGACAGGCGCAGGGTTGAGAATGCGGCTGGCGTCGATGAGGCCGGCATTGGGGTTCAGTACCAGACCAAAGCCGGGGAGATCAAGCGTCTTGACGTCCAAGTAACCCTTGGTCGGTACGGGCTCGTTCAGGAACAAGTCGCCAAACACCGGTAGAACTGACTTGCCGTCCGGGCTGTTCGCAAGGTATTCTTGGAAGGGTGACTGCGGCTGGGTCACAACAAAGTGGTAAGAGTATGGTCCACTGGCGTGAGGGACGACAGGAATGTCGTATGCAGAGGCCATCGCTGCAATCTTGAGAAGCTCCGTCATGCCTCCTACCCACATCACATCGGGCTGCAAGATGTCCAGATTGCGGCCCTCGATCAGCTTTCGGAAACCATATCTGCTGTATTCGTGCTCGCCAGTTGTGAACTTCATACGAGGATGAGCACGTTTGATCTGTTCGAAACCGTCCGTGTCATCGGGAGACAGGCATTCCTCCCACCAATTAAGGTTGAGGTGTTCAGTGGCCTTGACAACCTCGATGGTGTAGGATACGTTGAGAGACATGTAACAGTCGACCTGATCAAAAGGTTAGCCATAGTCTACAGTGATGAGCTACGACTTACCATCAACGGGAAATCGGGTCCGACACTCTCACGGTGCTTCGTGAGGAACTCGACATTCTTCTTCAAACCTTCGACACCCTCACCAGGGCCATATGGAAGTGGCACTTTAGCACCAATGAAGCCCATAGCCTTTGCTGCTGCTGGCTCCGGCCCGGTGCAATAGAAGTTGAGGCGCTCTCGTGTAGCTCCACCAATCATCTTGTAAACTGGCTCTTGGCGGATATGGCTAAATACTCAAGTTAGTGTATACCTTGAACGGCAAATCCAGAAATCCGTACCCGAGAAGATCCCAAATAGCAAGGTCAATCACCGAGATGACGGCGACTGGGAGTCCCTTTCTGCCGTAGAACATAGAGCCACGGTACATCTGCTCAAAAAGGTGGTTTGTATCCCGTGGATCTGTAGCGTATCAGCATTGGATACTGCGCAAACTGTAATACTGCTTACCTTGACCAATTAAGAATCGCTCAAAATGCTCGGCTACCAGCCAGCACGCTGGGGGCCCTCCAAAACCTGGGATATCTCAATTAGCCAGCTGCGATACATGACCGAGGAACAGCACACACCAGTGGCAAAGCCTTTGGTCCCATCAGTAGCCTCAATCTCCACACAGAATGATCCCAGGACATTGATTCCCCAGCTTGTCCTTGACGTTCGGTACTGCTCATACTGGCTCATTGGGGTCGAGATCTTGGAGTCGATCAACCAATGGCCGCCCTCGACATTGTGGTAATCACCACCACTACCAGGGCCTCGTGTGAGGAATGTCCGCACGTGCTTGATAGTAGGGAACGGGCGCGCAGCGCTGCCAGTTTCTTTGGTGGAAGGCATCGTGATGTGAGGCAAGAACGTGGAGCCACTGGAGGAACGTGTACCAGAAGAAAGGCAAGACACAAAAGAGAGGGGTACAAAGCTGAGAAGAAAGAGACTGTGTTTGTTATATAGATGGGACAGTCATGTGCGACACGTCCAGACCTGCGACCTGGATACTTTCGGTTCATGTCGCTGCGAGCCCGACCCGAAGACAATGAGACCATTCCAAACCTTCGGCCAAGCGGTGGATCGCACTGCTGTGGAGCGCTCTTTTCACCAGCCTCGGCAGTCCGAAACGGAGAGTTGATTGACCAAACGAGTAGGGGCTTTTACGGTATGGTACTGTATCTGATACCGGAGACCCGCCCGGGGCCACCAGTCCACCAATGGTGGGCGCCTGCAAGGGGGAGACCGTGTCCGGCCGAGCAATACGGCGAATCTGGGGAACGGCCTAATACTCACAGCACTCCCCGCGCAAACTCGGGCCCCAACTCGGGCCACATCACACCGAGCACACGCTCCAGCAGCACGCCTCCAGTCGCATCCTGCCTCATGGACGCGACAGCGACAAATGCCAACGGCGGCGCATCGCACCCGCATGTCGCCAGCCCAAATGACACAGCAAAGCACTCGCAACAGTCGGCCGAAGACCATCACGACTGGAGTGGTGAGGATGCGTCCAGCGCAGACGAAGCACACGACAGGAGCCAAAGCGGTGCTCCCAGCAAGAGGAAGCGACCCTTGAGCGTGTCCTGCGAAACATGCAAGCAGAGGAAAGTGAAATGCGACCGTGGGGCGCCGGTAAGGATCACTGCTCGAGTGCTGCAAAGATGATCGGCTGACGAGAGGATCGCCATGAGTAGGCTTGTAGCTGGTGTGTCAAGAACAACTCGGCTTGCGTATGTCTAGTCCTGTGTTGAAAACTCTGTGGCTGACTCCTTGAAGGTGTATCTGCCTCGTAAAAAACCTGGATTGCGAGCTGGCTATGGCCGTGAGCTTGAAGCTCGTTTGGGTGAGTAGCATTCCACGCCGCTGCAGACCACCGGCCGAGGCACGTTGCACCCTGACACAGGGCTGGCCAAATCTCGAGCCTACGAGATTTATTTCAACGGTGTCTCGTGGCTGTGATGAAGCATCGCAAGCCTGCTTGACGACGCATCGCATTGCATGGATCATGTCGGGACACTGCAGCTAACCACTGAGTGCGTAGACAAGCTCGAACATGCACTGGCACAGCAGCAGGCCCAGATCAACCATTTGTCCACTGCGTCCATTGCAACATCGTCCCCCCACGAAATCAACACCTTTCGTAGCCCGCCCGTCATACAAACACCGCATATCCCGCGTCCAGAGACGGCCCTCTTTATACAGAAGCCCAACGCCACGTTCCCGTCGCAGAATGCCATCCAAAATCAGTTTGGTGTTACCGATGGTAGGCCGACGCCATCTGTCACAGGCAACGGTTATGGACAATCTGATGATATACATGCCGGGCTAAGCAGCATGCACCGAGACTCGTATACCCCGTCTTTCAACAATGACCAGTTTCACCCGACCATGTCAAGAGCCCTGGGTCAATCGGAGGTCGACTTTCCTCCATACGATTTGTTGTATGGCCTAGTCGACTTGTTCTTTAAGCACATATACCCCTGGTGTCCGATCTTGCACCGCCAGACTACCCTGAATTCATTGTTCGGCGACACTACTCTGGATGAGGCGGATCGAATTATTCTCCATGCGGTGGTGGCTACAACGGTCAGGTTCTCGACCGATCAACGTTTGACACCTGAAAAGAGAGCGCGGTATCACCAGAGTTCGAAAGAAAAGGTCTTGCTTTACGGCATCGAGAATAGTTCGGTCAAGTCGCTCCAGGCACTCGTGATCCTTGCATTGGATGTCGTAGGTTGTTCGAATGGACCTCCTGGATGGAACTTGCTCGCTCTCATCACACGAAGTGTCGTTCAGCTGGGCCTTTCTGTCGAAAAGTTTTCGCCAAGTGTTGCGCCCCAATACGCTTCAATCTACACACTACGGGCGATTGTCTTGCCTGAGCCAAAGGACTGGATCGAGGAGGAAAGTCGACGCAGGCTCTTCTGGATGATCTATGTCCTCGATCGATATGCCACAGTTGCAACAGCCTTTGAATTTGCGCTCGATGAAGACGAGGTAGATCGCAAGTTGCCTTGTCGAGACGACATGTTTGCGCGTAATCTGCCGGTCGACACTCGATGGTTCCATACTTCGACGAGAACTGATTACAGTGTGTAGCCCCGAGGACTATTTATTGACAAAAGTTACTGACTCATATGACTAGGTATGGACAGGCCTGAGAACTTGGGTCCCTTTTCATACTATATCGAGATTCTGGGCCTGTTGACTCGCATACACAAGTTCCTAAAAAAGCCAGTCGACATCACTTCACTCTCAGACGTAGAGAAGTGGCAAAGCGAGTACAGAGAGCTCGACAATGCTATCGAACAGTGGAAGTACAACCTGCCACAGGAATTCGGCAATTCGGCGAGGGTATTTGCAAAATCGAATGGCATGAACCAGACGTTGAACAGCGGAATGGTTATGTTGCATGCGGCTTATCATACGTAAGTCAGACAAAATCATTGATATACCACAAGGCTGACAGCTTTAGCACTATTATCCGTCTTCATTCATCCGCGGCATATCCTACACATCGTTCACCGATCTTCACTCCATCTTTTAGCGCAAGCCAAAGATGTCTTAGCGCGGTCGAGAGCATCACCGCGCTATGTGCATGCGTGCGGGATAACGGTCTCTTGAGCAAACTCGGTCCTCCATTTGCATTCTCACTTTGGGTTGCTGCTCGTGTGCTCCTTGTCCACGGCTCGACGATTGACCATCGTGTTGACTCGTCTATCGACCTCCTCGTCCGCACACTCCAAGAGTTTGGCCAGTATTGGGAAGTGGGCACACGCTACGCAAATCTTCTCTCACGTGTGCTCTCAGAATATCAGGAGAGCCAGCAGACGCCTGCTGGCGTCAATGGCGAAAGAGTTACACCTTCAACGGTAAAGATTCTGGCTGACATGCGTCGCTGCGCATTTGACCTTGACTTCCTCATTTCTCGACAACCGAGGTTGAATGCGAGACTTCCATCTGTCACGCCAGCACGCACGCCAGCGCCCAATGAGCTGGAGTATCTCGATGTGTTTGATTTCTTCAACATGCCTCGACTTCCAGTCTCGATGGATGGTGCGATGAGCTATGCAGCGCAAGATGGTAGTATGCAACTGCAAGAAGGTGGGTATGGGAACGAGTCGAACATTACGAATTATATGGTTGATGCGAGTTCGGACTGGTTTATAAAGCAGTCTTCTTGAAGAAGAAAACCCCATGGCCCCATAGTAGAACAGACTTGATGGCAAAAGCTAGGTGTTTTGGTGCTTGTGTATATTGCGCTTTTTGAAAACCTTCTTTTGCGGACTGGCAAAAGACGCTCTCTTGCGTATCTTAGTTCGAGTTTAATGTTTCAGATACCCCCCTTCTTATTATACACGATACCTAATCCATGCTATACCTTGTGTGCAACCCCGCTTTGGTGTGGCGCCTGAATGTCCCTTTGACGATTGGTGGGCTGTGTGTTGCACTTTGGTAGACAGTAGCGCCCTGTAGTCTGCTGCCGAGAACATGCTTGTCTAGTTGTAGCTCTTGAACAAGATAACCCAGGCTTGGCCAAGTACTGTAGAAAGTCGAATGCATCAAGCCAGATGTTGAGAAAGTGGTTGTGCCAGCCGACGGTGTAGCCCTTGCCTAGCCCCACAAAGAGCCTATCGATGTGGTCCCAATAGCCTCGCCAGATACACTATCAACATCTTGACAATGCTAGACCTCAAAGTTGTTCCACTTAAAAATAAGGCATCCAAAGCTTAGCTCCTCGAGGTAACGCGACCGCGTCTTCTTATCTCATCTTGCATCTAGTACGATTCACGCCATGCTGCAGACCACCGGTACCTAGTCTACCTCATGCGCTCGGGTAGTTTGAGTATCATGTGATCTGCCACTGCTACATTCTGGCGATTTGGATGGCACAGGACAAGTAACGTGATCCTCAAACTAGCCGAGATAACTGGTAGTAGCGGCTCCTTTACCGTCGGAATAGCTCATTGGGTTCGGAATGCCAATGCCGATGGAGCCTCTCGTCTAACGTTATTTTCGCATTACTATAAGACATAAGCATAGACTGCCTAGTAATACAACCTCTCTCCGCATTCTCCACTAGACCTTGACACCCAGAACCGTGTTGACGACCAGCGACAGACTGAGTCACGAATCCCCGTGCCTACCGATATTCCATCACTTACAGTTGCCTGCCACCAAAACCAGCACATACAAATCACCAACAACCCACAAATTCCAACCACCACTTACCCCCGCAATGTCCTCAGAGCCCCAAAACATCACCGTTTTCGGCGCAGGCGTAATTGGCCTCTCAACAGCCCTGACACTCTCCTCCGCCTACCCTTCTGCTACCCTCACAGTCGTGGCCACCCACTTCCCCGGCGACCGCAGCATCGACTACTGCTCGCCCTGGGCCGGCGCAAACTGGTCCTCCATGGCCACTGACAACGGGCCCCTCGAGCACTACGACCGCGTAACCTTCAACCGGTTCAATGCACTTATGGATGGGGACTCAGTGCACGGTTGCAAAGCGCAGAAGAGAGGTGAGGGGAATGAGGCGGGATTGGGGAGGATGGGCATGTGGGCCGTATTTGATACGGGCAAGAAGGAGGCCGGTGTATTCAGTGTAGGGACGGGAAAGGTGTGGTATGAGGAGTTGGTAGGGGGGATTGGGGAGCTGGGAAAAGATGTTTTGCCCGAGGACGCAGAGTTTGGGATGGATATTAAGAGTACGTTTAGGATTAATACGCAGGTTTATTTGCAGTGGTGCGTTTTACTCAACTTTTCGTTTGTTGTTTTTCGTCATCCTGGCCTCGCGTGCTGAGGGGAGAAGACTATGGGTTCCTTTGTGGTCGTGGAGATAGGGAGATGTTGATGTGTGTGCTGATAAAGCGTATAGGTTACAGGCTCAAGCCCTAGCCCGAGGCGTGAAACTGATCAGGAGGAAGTATGCGTCCATCACTTCTCTTCTCGGCGATCTACCAGCAACTGATCTCCTGGTGAATTGCACGGGCATTGGATCCCTCCACCTTACCGACGTCCGCGACGCAAACCTCTACCCTACGCGGGGGCAGACGCTCCTCGTAGCTGAACCCAAAGTGCCAATCAACAGAATGTACGAATATGAAAGGATGGGGTATATATATCCTCTCCATTCTCTTGCCACCAAATGCGAATATCCCTGTCCGCGCTCCTTTTCACACTGCTGACTGCTATATGAACAGGTACTTGAGAAGTCAACAGCGCATCTTCCCAACAACCACATATGTATTTCCCCGCCCCCTCGGCGGCGGCGTCATCTGCGGTGGGAGCCGTCAGGACAACGATTGGAGTGCAGAGTGGGATGAGCAGCTAGGCCAGGACATTCTGAAGCGATGTTGCGAACTGTGTCCTGAATTGGGGAAACCACAGGATCTGCAGGTTATTGCTAGGAACATTGGGTTGAGACGTGAGTCACAGTCACTTGCGCCTTTGATGCGTGCATAAGTTTTGGGAAGAGGGTAGAGGCTGACAATGTGTTGGATAGCGTCCCGCAAAGGCGGACCGAGAATCGAGGCCGAGACTGGTAGGTGGAAAGTACCGGTTGTGCATTGCTATGGGCATTCTGGGACGGGGTATCAGAGTTCGTGGTATGTGTTTTTGGCAAGAATTGGTTGCGGGCTTGAAGGATGCTGACTTTGTGCAGGGGTACGGCGGAACGCGTGTTGGAGCTGGTACAGAAGACGCTGTCACCGAGTGCTAAGCTATGAACTGAGGGACGAATTTTGGGGCTTCCATATGTTCCAGGGGAGGAGTCGAGATGCTTTTCATGTCAATTACTGTAGATTCAGGGACACCCTCTGATGGGCCAGTTGCTCCTTTGAGATCAAGGGGATCAAGTCACAGCTATATTGATGTCCTGGTATAATCAATTGTGAGTGGGCATGAAACAGTGATAGACGTTCTGGACACCATGTTTCACTCTGAGATGCTGCGGATTAGTGACTTTGAAGGTTTGGATGATGGATGGTGTCACGTGATGGTGCGTTGCGCACAGTCGGCCGCTTCGCGACTTCCTTCCAAAAGACAAGCGATGACATAGCGAAACGTGACCAACAAAGTCTCCCACCTTTAATTCTGGCGCTGGGCTTGCTCAACATCGATACTCTCGCGAACCAATGCCACCATCACCGCGAAGATGTCGACACCGCAAGCCAAACGCCGCCGGCTGAACGAAGCAACCAAGACGCTGCACAAGCCGTTCAAATCACCCTTCCGCACCCCGCTGAAACCCAACATAGGCTCTGATCCACCGTCTTCAGACCCGCCAGAGACAGCTTCGTTTCCACCAGTGTCTACATATTCAGCAAGACCTGCAACAAACACCAGTACTTATCAGCAGTCCACTGCTACGACTGCATCTCCAGTAGCCCCCGCGACCCCTGTAGCACATGTATCGAAGCCGCTTGCATCTCGTCCTGGTTCGCTAGGAACTCCACGTGGTACTAATAGGGGCACGCCTTCTAAGCCATCTGTTGCGCGGGAGATCATGCAAATCCGCAACGAGATACAAATGCTTACGCAGGCCCAAACCCTCGCAACCTCGACCAAGGACGACGATCTGATGGTCCTGATTGACAAATGGCGCACAGCGAGCCGTGCAGCTGCAGAAGAGCTATTCGGGAGTACAAGAGACCGAGTGAATAGGATGGGTGGGGTAGGCGCGTGGAAAGAACGGGAGAACGAGTCGAAAGAACGACAGATGCAATGGGATCGAGAAGAGCGACAGGCAGAGCGAGAGAAGATCGAGGAGGCAAAGGAGAATGGCGAGGTTTCTGATGAGGCGTATGATAGGTATGCGGAGATGTCTGAGGAGAAGGTCGATGAAGAGAAGGAGACCTTCAAGCGCGGTGCTGATGATGATGTGAGTATTTGGCACTTCACTCTTTGAACGAGCGTTTGCTGATTGATGGCAGTCTTTTACTATGGATATGATGCTGAAGACACTCAATATCGATCTTGATCTCATCGGATACAATAAGGAGGCGCAACGCTGGGATGGATGATGACAATGGGTGGCATCCTGAAAACAGATCACCTCAAATGCGACGATAATATCACCTGATCTCGCACGAGATGAGAGCGCACATCTGCTTGCGTCCTATTCAAACTGTAAGCATTATGAGGTGCATTGTAATATGTGAGTAAAATTGTACCATGGATTCGCATAGCTCAATTAACTAACTAATGCAGGACAAACAACAACACTGCCTACTATTACATAGTTACTACTCATTTGCGATAGTTTCTTATATCCATCCCGCACTAGAATATATCCATCCCTGGTGTATGCAACATTACGTAGTGGCACATGACGCCATTGTTGTACTTTTTGGTCACAAGTACTGATATTACAAATCGTCGCTACTGATTCCCACAGTGACGTGGTGATCAATACAGCCAAAAACAGAAACATTTCATTGCATCCAGTTGGCTCAAGATGTCGCTCAAAGGCCAGACCGTTCTTATAACCGGCGCCTCCATGGGCATCGGCGCTGCCGTTGCAAAACGCCTCGCAGCGGAGTCCGCAACCCTCATCCTCTTCGCACGCTCAACTGCAAAACTGAAGGCAGTTGCCAACGATATAACATCAACATATCCAAATATCCAAGTCTTCACCGAGCCCGTAAACGTTTCGGACTATGACGCTCTCTCCACAGCTATATCTCACATGTCCCGAGTTGCTGGCCCAATCGACATCCTTGTCAATAACGCTGGACTTGCTTTGGGCGCACCCAACGCCTTTCCGGATCTCAAAATCCAAGATGTGGTCACCATGACAGGTACCAATATTAACGGCTTCATGTTTGCAACGTATGCGGTGTGGAATGAGGGTGGTATGAAGAAGAGAGCTAAAGGAATCATTTTGAATGTGACAAGTACCACAGGACTGGAGGTTCCGCCTTTTTCTGGTGAGGCAGTGTATCATGCGAGTAAAGCGTGTCAGGAAGCATTTACGAATGTGTTGAGGACAGAATTGGTGGATAGTGATATCAAGGTTCTTGCGTTGAGACCTGGGGTTGTGGCCACGCATTTTCATGAACAAAGGTATGTTCCCCCTGTCCTGTCTCTATCTTCTCCACAACGACGGCCCCTTGAACCAAAACCAAAAGTTGAGACTTGAGAGGGGACATGCTAATGATAGTGCAGAGTTGGATTCGATAAAAGACAGTACGAGGATTTCATGGAGGGTTTTGAACCATTGGTTGCGGAAGATGTTGCGGAGACGGCCGTATTCATGCTAAGTCAGAAAGATCGCGTTAGTGTTAAGGCTTTGGATGTTGTCCCTACGGCGCAGAGAAGTCTACAGGTTTTTGATCGGAAGTGGAATAGTAGAGTAGCGGGCAGGGGGACGTCGGATGCTAAGGTTGCACAGGAAGTGGATGCAAGACGAACGTAACGTTTATGCCATCCATGTCTTCCTGCGAATAGGCCAGGTGGGCCATCTCTGGTCGAAGATTATTTGAGGAACTAGCGAATTAAGACATACAGATTACAGTACTGTGTATGTATAATTGTGCGATGTAGAATTTCGGACGTACTTTAATTCTCCGATTCAGAGTGGAGTTCTTTCGTGGGTAGCGCTGGTTTACTCAGCCCTAGGTATGATACCGGTAATGCCGGGACCCCACATCCGCTGCCCCTTCCCCACATGCGACATATGTACCACAATGGTGCACCCACACACGTCTCGAATGTTCACCACTCGAAAGATTTGATTTAGACCTGATAATATCGATTCAGATTTCAGTCAACATGGCATTCGACGAACTCAAAGAGAAGATCACACCTGCGGTATGTAGAGGCCCTACGTCATTATTGCTGTACAAGAAACTCATCATCGCCATGATACTGGCGTTGACACGTGATTTATAACTAAAATACTTCAAATTGGCCACATACTAATTCATGCTGCAGGATGCGAGCCGCGAGACATCACCAAACCGAGGTTCTTCAGTACCACAACTTGAGGCTATACCAAAGCCATGTAGACCACTCCGCCAATGGCAGCAAGAACAGAATATCGATCGCAACGCACAAATAAAACTCACAAAACTTGTCCATATGCGCTACCAGCATCCGAATCTTGATGAAATAACCACATTCCTTCGAGATTTCGGTATGAGCGTGGCGAAAAAGATGGATGGGAAGCGCTGGTACAAGGGCTACGGCGACGATCAATACGTCTACTATGCGCAAGAAGGGGAGAAGGAGTTCCTCGGTGGAACATTCGAAGTCGAATCATCCGCAGAATTAGAGAAAGCTGCTACACTACCCAGCGCCTCGTCCATCACTGAACTCACCGACGCCCCAGGCGGCGGTCACATGGTCACACTGCACGACCCAGAAGGCTTCCCCATCAACCTGATCCATGGACAGGAAAAAAAAACACCAGGTCCCTTCCCCGAAGTCCTCGCCACAAATTACGAACACGATAAGCCGCGAAAAGCAAGGTTCCAGCGCTTCAAGCCCGGTCCGGCGGCGGTACACAAGTTGGGTCATTATGGCTTGTGTGTCCAGAATTTCCAGGCTGAATTACAATGGTATACACGCACATTCAATATCGTGCCCACAGACTTTCTCTATGTCACGCTTCCCACTGGCGAGAAAAAGGACGTCGCCATCTTCGCGCACATCGATATTGGGCAGGCGTACACAGACCATCATACGATTTTCTTCAGCACAAACAAAACATCACATGTGCACCATTGTTCCTTTGAAGTGCACGACTTTGACACGCAGAGCTTAGGGCACGAGTGGCTGGCGAAGAAGGGGTACAAGAGCGTGTGGGGCGTTGGCAGACATATCCTGGGAAGTCAACTTTTTGACTATTGGTGGGATACGACAGGGAATATGATCGAACATTATGCAGATGGAGACTTGGTGAATGAAGATACACCGATCGGGTGGGGCAAGGCGGGAGATGAGAGTTTAGCTGTCTGGGGTCCTGAGGTACCGAAGTGGTTTCTTGATTGATCGGTACTTGATAAAATCTACAATCTTTATCATGGTACATATCTCGCGTCGAATAACATTTGTTTGTCATCTCATCACCACTCCCTCACTTTCCCCCATCCCTTACCCTCCACCCCATCATTCGCAAAATATCTCCCACTAACCCTCTCCTTCCCTTCCCACCCCACCATCCTCATCATTCCCTGCACTCAAATCCCCCACCGCAAACCTAACCGGTATCCTCGCCCCCTCCTCCACCGTCTTTGCTGGATCCCCAGGCAGCGGCCCCTGCCTCCCCATATCCGTATCCATCCACCCCGGACAACAGCAATTCACACACACGCCCGGATACAAGCGCGCCAACACCACCGTCAGCGCATTCACACACGCTTTACTAACTGAGTAGCTGCGCGGACCGGTACCCCATCCACTTTCCTCTTGCGACTTGTCCCCGCCACGGACAGCCTCCAGGTACGATGAGGCGAGGGTATCGATATCAGAAACTGTTTCCACAGCACGGAACTGCGCCTGCAGTGCAGTACTGTAGAAGGCCAACGCAGAAGCAGCGCTCGATAGGTTTACAATCTGTGCGTTTGGGTTCCGGCTCATGCCGCCTTCCCCCAGAAGGAGAGACACATGTTCTTGGTAGCACGGTAGTCTAGGTTGAGTACGGCTTCGGCTTGGTCAGGGTTTCGCTGCTGCTGTTGTTCATACGCCGGCGTTGTTGATGAGGATTTCGATGGCGGTGTTGGATTTGAGCATGGTTTGGAGGGAAGTGGATATTGATGTGGGAGAGCATATATCGAGAGTGCTGTAGGAGATGGTGTTGGCGTGTGAGGGTGTGATATCGAGATTGGTACCAGAGCGGGACGTTGCATGTATGTGGAGGGGGCGGGGGTGTTTGGTTGATGCGAGGAGTTGGACTATGCCTCGTCCGAGTCTGCGGTTTGCACCGTTTACGACGATGGTCAAAGGGGCTGTCATTGTCACTGTGATAGTGTGGTGGTGGGTGATCGGAATGTGGAATCTGAGGACTGGGGAGTGTTGTTCCTGGTGTTTCATGATTTGAAGGCAACAGCATTCTTATACTTTAAGATCACGTGGAGACTCTCTATTAGAAAGTTGAATTATGCCTATACAGTTAGAAATCATTTCTCCATGCAGTGTAGGAAGTAATAGACCCGAAGTCGTTGTTAGGCTGTTTTCTGGTGTTCTTTGCCAAAACATTACCAAGTTACCAAGCCCTTGGTATATGTTGTTAGCTTTCCCATTGTGCCGAGAATCCTTATGTTTAAATCAATGTATGGGGCCAGACAACCAGAAAATGCATCATGCTACAGAAAGATAAAGCGACCCCTATAGTTAGCTAAAAGAAGCTCTTACTCATGGTTAATAGTGGAGATGTACTGATGCGACAAGCTTTCTACATGGATCGAATCGAATCTTAGAACAGGATATATTGAAGCAAAAAAGACAAGTATATAAATCTTTTATCCAGGGGTGTGTTATAAACGTGCAGAAAATGTTCAAGAAAGTTCGCTGTCAAGATCTCCGTCAATCATCTGTGCCTCGATACCTGCGTCGTTGGCTGGGTAACGGGCGATGTAGACCGCGCATTGGACTTGCTGCTTGTCATGGGAGATGCGATCTTTTTGGTCTGCAGAGTTGTCTTCATCCTTGCTGAAGACGTCGCCTTGCTCATTGAAGTGGAACTAGCCTTCACTTTGCTCCTCGTTGCACTCCCGACTACAGCCTTAGCAGACATCAACTCTACCTATGAGTGAAACGTCTTGGCTTTCTTCACTTCCTCATATCTATCCGTTCCAAACGTCGAATTCAGCATTACGCGCCCAGAGATATTGCCATCCTCAAGTCTGATCCAAGTCTCGACTTCGTTCTTTCCAAGCTTGTCTTCTTTGACCATAATCTGTCGTGCGCCACGGGTCCAGTCGGTGTAGCCGCCGTAGCCGGAGTGCCGATTGAAGCAGAGGTTGAGCCCATTCCCGTTGGACGGCGATGTGTTGGGTAGGGGCTTGGACCACTTCATACACCAGCTGTTGTACTAGTCAGCCTATTGACATGCAGGTAATGAAAGGTTTCTAAGACCTACTCAATTCCATGATCATGGCCTGAAAATACAGCCATTAGCCCTTCGGTCTCGACTAGCGCTTTCATAAATGGTGCGTCGGCGCCGTTGTAGCTGCAGTTGCTTCCAGAGCTATCGCACTTTTCACCTTGCTGCTCGATCAACTCTTCATTCAGACCTGGCTCGTGGGTGGCTATCAGTCCGCCATGCTGTTGAAACGAGTACGTCGCGTGTACCGGGATGTGGACGAAAGCTAGACTTGGAATGACGCGACCGTGCTGGTGATGGAATTCGCTGCTCTTCTGAGTGAACCATGCAACAACCTATAGATGTCAGCGTACTCCTTATAGAAGAGAGGCAGTATACCTACCTTCTCGTCGACCCAGTTGTCCAGTGGAGCATCACCTTTCCCAGGCTGAAAGACACGTCCGCCCTTACTATCGAAGAACCACAGCAACATCTTCAAATCACGAGAATCCTTGGAGCCGTACACAGGGATAAAGTAGTTGCTCGTCCCAACTTTACTCGCATCACCTTCCACGGAGCTCGTTGTGAATGACAGCTTCCTACCATTCGTACCTCGGGCGTCCCGCCACATGTGCTCAGACATGGACCTAGTGTCGCAGGTTTGTGATGCGTCGTGGTTACCAAAAGTAGCAGCGAACTGTAAATTTCGACTGGTCAATGGAGCGATGATTTGATCGATCAACTTGTTTGCATCCTCTGGAGCGACCCATTCGCAAGATGTGAGGTCTCCGTTGAGAACTACAAGATTCGGTTTCTCGTTGTCGAGGATTGAGCTCATGACGCAGACGGTCTTCACGTCAGAATTGGGTCTGTTACGGGCAGAGGCAGCTGAAGTTCATTAGGGACGTGTTGGCTTCGTGTAGTGCAAGAGTAAACATACGCTCGCCGAAGTGTAGGTCACTGAAGACAGTGATCGATAATTCGCCATCTGCGCCAAATTGTATACCGGGAAAGTTAGGCGCTGCAGAATCCCTGTCTTGGAGACGTGAACAACCTGCAACTACCATGGCTGTGAGCAGAGAGAGTGAACGGAAGGCCTTCATGTTGCGCAAGTGTGTCGAGGCTAGTTGTAATCGTATAGCTGGATTTGAGTTGATAAAGGTCAGAAAGCGTGGTAAGGGAAAGGCGGATTTACTGAGTGAATCATTGTTTTTTTTTGGGTCGCCATAGCAAACCGTTAACGCATGTGGCAGGAGCGATAGAGGTAGGCGCGCCGGGGACCGTTTGCTCGTGCTGTTGTAGCAACCTCATGCGAACATTAGCCTGCTCCTTAACGCCTCACACAAGGATACCGGGTTTCAGTTTGAGATATTAATACAGGCCTGTATTGTATGACCATAAAGAAGTTCAGATCACTCGAAGTGAAGCCTCGACATGTGTCGAGCATCATGGCCGTCTGCACTGATGCATGGAAACGGCGAAATTGGACGGTTCGTCGCCTTCACAAGCGTGGTATGTGTGAATATGTCAATCACCCAACATGAAACATTTATGATTGAAAATGACGAAAGACAGTCTGGCTGGAACAAAAAGTCTCTTTCGACCAGCAACTTGATTTGAAGGCAATGCAGCATTCGAAGAAGTGGGACAAGAAACTGAAAATGCTGGTCCCTGAAATCGCGGATGCCCAAGGTGATTGTGTTCTATTGCGTGCTCCCATCTCGCCCTGGGGTTGAAAACGAGCACTTCATATCGATAGTATGGCCAAAAAAGATGATTTCGATCTCTACAGCTGAAACAGGCACTTTTATAGGCGGTACCTGGACAGTTTGTAGCAGGCTTGTCGGTCTTGTCATTCTCGGGTTGGTGGTTTAGACGCCTGTGGTTGCTGACACTGACTGGACAGCAAACGCAATTCCAATTGCTGTCCCAGTGACATGTTGAGTGCTGATGGATAAAGACAGACATCGGAGATTGGGGACTGCGTCAATAAGCGCGTCTACCTGTGAACCTGCACTACGGTAAAAAATTGTTTACTGTAGAATAGTACGCTAGGGGTTTACTATATAGGTGTAAACTAACCTTATATATACCTATAAATAGGTTTAAAGTAGTAGTTTACTTTTATAGTAGGGGTTTAAATTAAGTATAAAAAGTAGTTTTATTTCTATTATACACTATAATACCTAACTAAGACTAAAAGGGGTAGATAAGATTAGCTTTATGCTATACGTATATATAACATAATAATAAGTTATAATATTTTTACTAATAGGAGGTGGTGATAATAGAGGTGGTGATAATAGAGGTGGTGATAATAGAGGTGGTGGTAGAGGTGGTGGTAGAGGTGGTGGTGGTAGAGGTGGTGGAGGTGGTGATAATAGAGGTGGTGGAGGTGGTGGAGGTGGTGGTAGAGGTGGTGATAGAGGTAGTAATAGAGGTGGTAGTAGAGGTAGTAAAGAAGATTAAAGAAAGGAGGGGTAAAATACTTAATTAGTAGGAAACTAGGTATTACTACGTAATACTAGTAGATTAATAGAAGTAGAAATAAAAGTAGTTTACTTTTATAGAATATATAGTATAATAAACCCTATTTAGGTTTACTTCTTCTACCTAAACTACTTCTTAGTCTACTTTAGATAAATATAGCTACTATAAACTAGTTTTGTACTATAGTGCTAGATGCAGATAAAAAGCTACTTGTTCTAAGTGATTTTAGCTTAAGGTTGGCTAACGCTAGTACCAGTACCAATAACGTGATCCACCACCAAGCGCCTACCCCTACTAAGCGCCTACTAACACTAAAATCCACTACCTACTAAATAAAGATATTGCGCCACCTATAATAGCTACTATTATAAGATTTCTTAGAGTTATAATTATTAGATCTATTAGAGTAAATTAAATATTTTAGATTATATAAGTAGCTTTTTAGGGGGTCTAATTAGGCGCCTACGCTATAAAGTTGCCTCTACTACTATATCCTCTTCTACTAGCTCCTTATTAACTACCTTAGCTAGTATAATAGTAGGAGGCTTAAGGATTTACCTCTTACCTATTTAAGATATTTTAATATTATTTTAGAGTTACTTTTCTAGTTACTTAGTAGTTTTTTACTTATTATATATAGTAGCTTTTTAAGTAGCTTTCTTCTTTTACTTCTTTTTAGTAATTACTTAATTTAAGTAATACTCCTTTATAAGTTAAGCTTTAGTAAGCTTCTATTACTTATAAAGCTTAATTACCTTACCTTTTTAGTATTATAACTTTTATTCTTTAAGGTTCTTTTACTTTTAAAGCTTAAATACTTACTTTACTTTTAATAGTAAAATAAATTAAATACTACTACTATAATTATTATTAGGGGGTAATAATAGAGGTTTACTATACTTCCTATACTTCTTCTTATTAGTTAGGGTAGCCTTTAGGTATTTATTTTTATAGTTAAGTAGAGTATTTCTTACTAATATAGTATAGATTATCTAGCTAAGCTTCTTTAACTATTTATTATAGATATTAATTATAGTATTATAAAGTAACTACTCTATCTTTCTTTAATTACTTATACTTAATATTAAGGTTATACTATTACTTAAAGAAGGCTAGTTACTATTATTTATAGGTGCTTTAAACCTTAAAAGGATAATATTAAAGTTAAGTAGTAAGATACTTATTACTTTAAAAGCTATTAATATTAGCTTTTCCTTAAAGGTATTACTCTATATAGTATTAAATAACTAGTAGAAATCCCTTTTAGTAATACTTATAAGCCCTTAGAAGCTATCTAGAAAACTAGATAATTAAGCTTTATATAAAGCTATAAAGGGAGTAAATACTATAATATTAAGTAGCTAAAGGGTATAAGTACTATAAGAGGGATATATTATAAGTAAGATCTTATATTTATTATAGTACTTAATAAACTCTATTATTATATAAAATCTATAGCTATTAAGGATAAGGAGCTAGTATAAAGTATAAGCTTTAGCTTTTATCTTATAATTAAACACCTCCTTAAGCTAGGATACCCCTAGGGTATAGCTTATTTACCTACTTAGTAATCTTATAAAGAAAGCTTAGTATTATAATAAGTTAAAATCTTATAACTAGGTATCCTATAAAGCTCTAGATTAGGACTAATAAATAAGAGTAGGGGTAAGAGTAGTACTATTAGTATATATATAAGCTATAGTAGTAATCTACTCTTTATTACTATTCTAGAGTATAGCTCTAATTTTTTTTTATTTATAGGTGCTCTTATTAAATATATATTTAGTTTTTAATAGTACTCTAATAAGAAAACCTTTTTTATTTATATTATAAATATACTAACTCTTAATATTATATTTCTCTATTTTTTAGTATAAAAGCTTAAAGTATAAGCTATACTTAAAGATAAAATTAGCTTTAAAGTAGTTATAATTAAGCCTAGTAGCTTAATAAAAGATAAAATTAATATTATAGTAGTTAATAAAGTACTATACTTAATTTTTACTTACTAGATTCCTTAATATTTTAGTTATAAAATTTTAAATAATAGTTTATATAAGGGGTAATTCTTACTTATAAAGCTCTTTAATATACTTTATAAGCTTACTTTCTTATATAGTATTAAGTATTTAATTATTTAGTAGAGTAGTAGTATATATTTACTAAATTTTCTAGTAGTATCTAGATAAGGTTAACTATAAGTAACTATACTTTTCTACTATTTCTAAGTATATAAAATCTTCTCTAAGAGTTAAGGATTTAATTACTATAAGCGCGTTATTAATAGGTGCTATAGTTATTAAGAAATTTAGTGTTAAAAATTTAGTGATTTTAGTGTTAGTGGGCGCTTAGTGGGGGTGGGCGCTTGGTGGTGGATCACGTTAAGTCAAGTTAGCGGCGCGCCCCGCTCCGACGTTGCGCAGGGCATCTCCAGAAAAAAAGTTACAGTCCACGACCGAGGCAATCCTCACTCTCACATTAACCGACGCGATGAATGCTGACGCGTACCTGCGGAAGCAAGGCTGGAAAGGCTCAGGCCATTCACTCGACTCGACCGGTCGTGGCATCAAAAAACCACTTCTCATCACCCACAAGCAGGATCAATTGGGTCTTGGCAAGAAGAAGGCGGCGTATACGACCGACGACCAGTGGTGGATGCGCGCATACGACCAAAGTCTGCAAAGCATTGGCACTGGAAAAGAGGTATTTGACCTTCTGGCTGTTATGCTGGCCACGACGGACCCCATGCCAGGCTAATGCCATGCGCAGAGCACACTCAATCAGATCCGTACCCAAGGAATCAATCGCGGTGGTCTATACGGCTTCTTCGTGAAGGGCGAGGCGATCCAAGGTACCATTGAGGACAGTTCTGCGACTACGACCGACGCCTCCGTTCCTCCATCCGGTACAAATACCCCTGCCACTTCTGTGTCCGACACCGAGGGTGCGTCAACTGCGGCAAAGCTCGATAAAACGAGCAAGCGCAAGCGCGAGGAGGCCGACGTGTCTGAGACGAATATAAAGAGCAGGAAGAGCGACAAGGAAGCGAAACTTGCGAAGAAAGAAGCGAAGAAGATGGCTGAGGTTGATGCTGCCACGCAGAAGCCCTCAACACACAGTTCCAGAAGCAAGGAGCGTACCTCTGTGACCGCGAAGCTTACAAAGATGAAGCCTGCCAAGAAGGCAGAGTACCAGGCGCGAGCCTTGCAGAAAGGTCAATCTCTCGAGAAGTATGTGCTTCGTCGCATTCAGAAGAAAGACCAAAAACGCGCAAAGTACGTCGATCCCTCCGACCCACGTTTCTTCTTTGTTGACTTGCGCAAGGTGATACCAATTTTGCACACCATATGTGCACTGTCGTCCCTTACAAATGCTACCAGCCACGGTTCTATCGCGTCCAACCGTTAGGGCTCGACCAGATGATTTGGGCGAGAGAAGTACTCGACTTCATCTCTGAATGTCGTGAGATGGATCAATAGAGCCGCGGCGAGACACCATGCACTACATATTCAAGCTCATCGGCTATCCAGGGTGAAGCACAAGGACCGCAACAGGCAGGCAGTGGACACAAATACAAGCTTCGTTCAGCTGTAGCAGCCGAGCAACTGGAGAACTCGACCCTACGAAGGACGAAGACGACCTAGCACTAGGTCCTTGGAGGAAGTCCATGCGCCTCAATCGACGAATCGCTTGGTTGACGAATCAACACATAAAACACACGCGGATCGCCCTTAGACTACAGCAACTGCCATGCCGCACATGACGAATTCTACGGCGAAAAATAAGCGAAGAAGAGAGAAGCTGCATTAGCGTCGTCCAATATCGCTCGAGAGGACCGAAAAGCACAGGACACTTGGGCCGGAGGAGTGGAGAAGTAAGACGGATAGCTAGATCAAGACTTCAGGTGACTCAACACGATAACATGTACAGTCTTTCAGTGACTTGCTTGTCCTGATGAACTAGATAACCAAATTTTAATCAAAATCAGTCATCGGTATGGCAGTATATCAGTTTGCTATTCAGAATTGTATCAGCAACATGGCTTTCCACAGACGAAGAAAGGCTTCCAAACATTCTCGTGACATAGTCCTCAAGGACGAAAGATGGTATTGGTTTAATCGAGATCAATTCAACCTGTCTTGCCACTTAATATCCAAGGCCTCTTCTCCCAAAATTCATCCTTGATAATGTCAACGTGCTCCATGATGATCTTCGCTTTACTCCGTTTCTTGCGATCCCTGTCCTTTTGCGTGCGGCTCATTTGCACCGGGCGGCTATCTGCACTATGTGTGGCTGATGCCCAGTCGCCCCGCTCTGTAGCTTTCCTACGTGTAGCAGCGGCGGCGGTGGTGGTGGACTTAGATGTCGAAGTCGGGTCAGAATAGGATTTCTGGGCCTTCTTGGAGGTATCGACGGTAGAGAGGGAGGTATGCTTATACTCCTTGGCCTTGCCTTTGCCTTTGTGTTTGCTCGTTGGGGTGACTATGGTTGATATTTGTGATGGCGTTGAATTTACACGTGAGGAGTCGCGGGTAGGTGCTTTGGGGGGCGTGGAGAGCATTTCGTCCATGTCGAGTGATCCGTTTGTGCTAGTGATGGTCTGTAGAGGGGTTAATTGGTTGTTTTGAGAGGCTGCAGCTATCGATGATGAGAGCGCGTGAATGTCAGGATCCTGGTGTGGATGGGAGAATGATGCAGATGCTGACGCAAAGTCTAGCCGTGACTGACTGTTTGCTCTGCGATTTGAGGGAGGGGAGACTGTAGCAGGTAGTTCGGCAATAACTGGATGAGCAATGTGTTGTTCATCCCAAATTTTCCCGCTTCTATTGGCTGCATCGCAGGCACGAGATTGAGATAAGGATTCAATGTGCCCTCGAGGCGAAGATTCTTGTTGCGGATTGTTGCCAGTACCTTTCACCTTCGCTCTCGTGCGCAGCTCTTCCTCTCTGCTCAATGGTGGACTAGGCAACTCTTTGTCTGTGCGAAGTGGCGGACTGACTCTCTTTGGTGTGCTTGACCCGGTGGTAGGGACGGGGCTGTGACATAACTCTTTCTCATCACTCGATGGCCTCACGGCTTTGAGCGTGGAACTTGACCGCGAGTTCTGCAGCGACAGTTTCCGTGGCTGGCTGTTGACTGGGATGCTAGACATGCGTAAAGGTATTGAAGGTGGTCCGCTTGCACTATGGCTGTGTTGAGTCGCATAGGAAGGGAGAAGGGGTTGACTTGGTGAGCGATGCTTTAACTTATTTTGGTGTGTCAGAGGTGGACCTGATGAGGGCGTAGATGCAGACATCGACGCGGAAGCCGAATGGGAGGGCATGCGGTTGGTTGTTGAAGGAGATTGATGTCTGTAACCAGAAATCTGGAATGCCGTAGGAAAGTCATCTGGTGGTGAAATAGGCGAGAAGTTGGTACGTGTTGTTGGATTTGGAGCATTGAGAGACGTTGGCGGTTTGGTGCTTGGCTTCAATGTCAACGGAGAGAGTGGTAAAGGCATCAAAGGCGGAAACGGTTGCTTGGTTTGAGACACCATGCTTTCATGGGGCGATGTGACAGTTGATGGGGGAGATAATGGTCGAGTGTTGAGTGGTGGGTTGGTGCTGTTCCGAGCGCTCACCGGATTTGACCGCAACGGATTGGGAAACGTTGATCTCGACATGGTCGCTGTTGATGGTGGCGGAGACGGAGTTGAAGTAGTGGATAGAAAAGTGGGCCCTAATAATTGCTCTGGAGACTCTGTTTCTATAGCGCCGTCCTGCAGGAGTCGCGGTGCCATCTCGATAGGCCGAGTAACAAGATGCGGGGAAACCCTTCGCGGCTGGGGTTGGGCAAGAGGGGGTGATGGAAATGCTGCTAGGGTAGGCGAGGATGCTGCTTCAGCTGGCGCCGTTGGAAAGAACTGGCATTATCAGCTTAATCACAGTAATATCGAGATCCAGCCTAGGCATACGTCTCTGTATAGTACTGTCCCCTTTTTGAAGCACTCAGGCTCCTTGTTGTAATTGATACCAAACTCCTTGAACAACAGCTCATTCTTGTCGGACGATACTGTTCCAGATAATTTTTGCTCAGCTTCACGAGGGTCCATACCACCTTTCTGAACGAGGGTCCAAAACGTCGTGTTGTAAAGATTGTTGATGTGGCCTGACACAAGATTGTTAGGCAATTTCGTAATTGTAACGGGATGACGTGAGAAAGCTAAAGAGCGTGCTCAAGGCAGCGCCGAATCAAGGAGAGGCGTGCAAAAAAAAGCAAGTTTGCTTACAGTCGACTTGTCGCCAGCTCATGTAATCTCGGAGATTGAAGTCACTGGGATAGCACACCGCACGTCCATCGAAAGACGGAAGTGGAGGCGTGAGTATCTTGTCAGGGAAGTATTCAGACCATAAAAATACATAGTACGATGTGAATGTCGACACTATTGTGGTAGTCAACTTGCTATGAGGCATCAGCTTGCCCTTGGTATGTGGGTGCCATGATAAGCATCACAGGTCAGGTCTTGCATACCTGGCTCTTCGTTCAAAGAGATTGCAATCCTTGTGGAAGACGAAACTGTTACACATGTCAGCTTAGCTGCAACTGTAGACAGAGGCATGCTGTAGCCCATGTCCTTTTATCAGTAGCCTGGGTATGCCCACTTGGGCAGCTGATGATCTCACTCATCATTACCCTCGAATAATGCAGCGACATACCTGTATTCATCGCTGTTGCCATATGCTAGCACAAGATCAGGGAGTTCTTTCATCACAGCCTGAGCTGCTGCGTTCATGAGATCAAGCGCATCTCGGTCATTAGGTTTGGTGAATTTGTACTTGGTCGTAAATCTGAGCGGCTTGTATCAGTAAAGGTATGTTACTGACTTTAGATGGTGATTTGTTGGCTTGATGCCGTCACGTCCATTGTTCAGCGTTTGCGTCGCGGTTCCAACAACCACGCGTACCTGAATGTCAAAGGCACGAGCCGGCCTGCGCATGGGAAATACGGTAGCAAAACCTGACATACTTGGAGAAGCCCCGACCGTCAATCCGCACAACAATCCAAGTGTTAGCCAACAGATTGTCCGGCTGCTCGAACGAGCGCACATATTCGTATCTAGAGCCTGTCAGTACATAGTTTGATGGGCACGATGGGTAGGCTAGGACTGTTCGCACGTGCAAATGTTGAACTTATCCTTACTCACTTTGAATTAGCCATCTGTGTTCTGCCTTCGCTATAACAACCTCTCAGTTGCACCACAATCGCGCAGCATAGCAACCTGAGAACAAAGTCCAGAAAGCGATCGCCAACGCAATGCTGGCCGCCGATGGAAATGGTTTTGAGCACTTCGAGATTCCGCAGCCAAGGCTAGCCCGTTGTTCTGCACAGCGAAGGAGTGTTTCAGGTGCGCGCATATCATGCACCTAAGATGGTACGTCTGGGCAAACGCATACCGGTATAGCGCGATTGATATAGTAGCGGCTGGAAAACTCCGAAGAAGGCCATCATGCATTGTGGAAATGGAAATGCCGTGTGGAAAGTCTCATTGACGAGTCGGGATGATCGGCGCTGACTAATGATAGGCCGACCCCAGGGTCTTTTTGGACCTTGACAACTCTTCCTTCTACCAACTCTGTCCTCCATATCACTCATGGCCATCCGCCATCAATTCTTGGGAGACCCCATAGGCCGTATCTCCAAGCAGCATCGATCGACATAGGTGCCTCATCCTACGCGGCGGCTTGCAACGTGCTGCGTGCATGGAGCTGTACTACCCATCACCACCTCGCAGCGACGAGAGACTAACCCATGCTACATGCAGCGGTGAGGCTGTTACCGGGCATTCCCAAGTAGCTTGCCAGCTGTTCGTAACATGTGACATTGGCTACGTGTATCACGTCTGGAGTGCAGCCTAACAGACATTAAACACCGGTTCGTTCAGGGCACTGACCAACCCCACAAGCTTCCAGCCACAACACCATCCTCAAACAATGCAGTCTGCACATTTCAGGAGTGAGTGTTCCAATGAGCCAACAAACCTTTTGTCCGACATTCAGGAAACCGCGCCGTCTGTTTGAGCCTCCGGTACTTACGCCACAGCGTTTTCTGGAGAACACCAGATTCTGCTCGTGGCTGCAAGCACTCCCTCGCTGACTGAAACTGTTGCTAAATCCGCAATCAATACGATGATTGTGTGGCGCTTATTGTGGTGCGTTCGGCCTATTTGAGGATGCACCACTAGGTACAGGCTTGCCTACGTTTAATTAATCATTATATTCTAGGCCTTCGAAGATACCAGGGCAGGCAAGTCGATGATTCATTTATAGGATCCCCTTGGAATTATGGGTCTTACACGGTCTTACGGTATGGAGAATTTTGTCGCTGTATCGAGACCATCCTACGGTAGGCTCCGTCTTCTTTAAAGAGCATTGACTCGCGGAAGCGCCACAGACCGGCGGACCGCAGCGTCATGATCGACATATAGATAACGGTAGAGCTGTCCCCACACGTTACCAGCTCGTAGTTACCATGCCTCAGCATCGAGTCGTCCTTGACATTGAGCAAAAATACTGAGTTTGGAGTAAGGTTCTTCTAAGATATTCTGGTGCGGGCTCTTACATCTACTAAGTTTGGTGTAACAGACTCTTCAATCTAGTGACAAAGGTAATCTGTCCCATCTGTCTGATTGTTTAAGCGTCGAATTTACGCACTACGTAGGCTTGTCACTTTGTGCGTGAGTCGGCCATCTTAAGCAGTGCCTGACAGCTTAGCAGCTGTCAGATTGAGTCAAAGTTCAGTTCGATCTTTGCAAAGTTTGAAATTCCAGGCGCTTGACTCCTGGAATGTAGTGTGTTTCAAATCAAGCTGACCAAGTAATGGGAAATTGATCGAATACCGGGAAGCACATTGCTCATATGTACACTTCGTGCATTAATCGCAGTCTTCAGAGCACACGATATAGTCCGGCTGTTCATTATCAAAGACCTCATTTTAACCCAGCTCAGAATCGTGGACCGCATTAGGACCTTGAATAATTGCTATCAGACCAATCATTATCCTCCATAAGACGCCGCTACTTGTGGCTAAACCACTTATTCCTCAATTAGTTCAACAAGTCTTGTGTGTCTCCATGTTGACAGATCAGCAAGATTTTCGTTCCTTGGTGAATCGCCTCTAAAAGAAATATATCAACTTCTTCGGCGTTTTTGGAGATCTTGAGAAGAGTGGACGGCCGACGAGTGCGGTCGGCACCGTCTTCCTTGTACTCCTGAACACCAGTTAAAACATTCTAGACACTTATGTCTTGAATATCCCAGCACCATTGTGGTAACTAATGATGAATTTGGGCACAGGCTTGGTGTACGGAGTAGATGTCTCTCATGTCAGTTTTCTTTTTGCACTTGCCAGACCAAGTTTCAGATCCCAAATTGAGTACTGTGAGACCTTTGGAACCGTGAAGTCTGATCATGAATGAAAGCTTACTAACATTTATATTATAGAGAGCTGCGTTGATAGCCATTGTCAGCCAGAAAAGTCTTAAATTCATTAGAAAGCACAGTAGAAGATATCGTTGCATTTCCACTGTTGGTACTTTAGCCCTTATTCGTGCCCAAGAGGTAGTCGTTCACTTCAATATTCCCAAAGGGACGGAGGCCTGTGACACTGTATATTGCGATGAATTGATGGATTCAGAGCTTTTTAATACCGAGATGCAGGTCTTGTATGCGTCCATACAGTTCTGTTCAACCTCTCTAATGCTGCTGGCAACTTGGTCATTTAATCAACAAAGTTTACAAATATCGCAAGCAAATATAATTAATTATGGTGACTAAAGAGGTGCTCAACGTGGTTGCCTGCCTATTCTATATTACATGACAAGTCTGGATGTGCACGATAGTCTTCATCCAGCAGAGCAACTCATTTCGAAAAGGACTGTGCGGTCGCATCTCCAATCTGACCGTACAATTGCAACATACTGACAATGATTTATTGTTGCAGTGGTCAAATTTGTTCAGATGAAGGCCACATACGTTAATGAGTACCTGGAGTCATGGAAACATGTGATGTCGCAAGCTCGGGCACAACGTCGACGCCAATCCGGATCTGATGAAGTGGTTGGAAATCATATGCGATTTATACACATTCCAGGCTAGAGATGATGGCATATTAAATATTGGTCTTAGAAGAGGTGAATGTTACTCGGCCTCACAGTTACCCCTGATTGCCTACCCTAGGTATTGTCTGTGTTTGCAACGCATACTTGGTAGGTACCTTTGAATATGCAAAACGGCATATTATAAGACATGCTGCAGCTATATGTTATAGTTATGATTTATCTAACAGAAGCTGCAACGGAAACACTCCTATTGTAAAGTGATCTATCTTTTACTACGAATGATTTCAACCTTGATCATTGTCAGCCTGTGGCATCGTTATATCAGTACCACCACCCTCGCTACTCGCCTATCTCTACCGTGCCAGCATCTACTGAGCGTGCGCAATATTCGTGCTTATCGTATTTATCAGTACAAACGCTTAATGCACTGCTCCTTCCGCCTGCGACCTACAAACGCTCTCACCCTCACCAACATCCACGCCACATCAGCTACACCCAAATCAAACCCCCAAATCAAACCCTCGAACCTACCATATAAAGCCCAAAATTACTGATTATTTCATCAAGCGCGCGACCAGCAGTCGGCCGAGAGGTGAAGAGCTACTCATCTGGTTACGACATCTGTAGGAGTGAGAGAACTTCCAGACCGTCCTTCGCCTGGTCGCCCGTTCGAACCCAACCGAAAACCTTGCTTTGCATTGCAAAATTGCAGTTTATATCGCAGGATTTAGGTCGCTCTCCACAAGGAGTGTGCTTTTTTTTGCTAATAAGAACTGCCATACTGTAAGATAAAAAAATAACATTAAACGCTCCCGTTTAAGCGACAAACTAGAAAATAAAAACATGCCCTCTGTGTCTAAGACATAGTCCGTCTGAATTTTAGAGAATGTTTCACTAGAGGAAACAAGTCTTTTTATTCAATCGCATATGTGTGATACTATGTGTGGTATTGCTGCAGTTTCATGTGGCAGTCTTAATGTAATGCTCGGCTGATCGGCGCTGCTGCTAAGCAATATTATCAATACGCGCAAGCCAAAGGCTAATAGAAGTGTCTTTAACGCGGGATATGACGCTGTAGGGTTTTCGTTGTAGGGGGATTTCTAGTTGCGTGGTTTCGCGCGAAGACTATGTGGGGTAAGTAATGGGGCTGGTGTGTCTTAATGGAGAACGTAAAGAAGTTGGATAGAGAGAGCCATTAGCCGCAGGAAACAATTGTTAGAGTTCCTGAAGAAGCAAGGTTTGGCATTTGTCAACTTGGTGGGCGGCTGTAACAAGTGCGGCCAGGATACTAATAAACCCTATCATGCGTCGTAGGAAATGTCTGGTAGGTTATGATAAGCCTCCCATGATCCACGCCTAGCTCAAATGCTACCTCGGGACGAGGCTCGGATTTAGACGCTAGTGTGACGCAGTCATCATTGCCTCTGTGGAAAGGGACTACCGAGGAGTACCTTCTTTGAGATTACTGATCTACACCATCTCTTCGATATATAACATGAATGTGCTGCTCTACCCGTGTCCTTTCGTACAGGTTACACAGTTTTGCTTATCGATATGCGAAACAATGCGAACTCGACATTGGGATTTACTTCAGCAGTCCAAGAATCTAGTTTCACGAAGACAGAGAACAAGGGCTTTGTATAGATGACCATTCATTTGGCAAGACTACCCAACCCTCCGCACGATGAGACCGGTGGCTGCGGGAGATGATTCATATTCCCATTTATGTCGTTAACTAGTAAGTATACCTGAAGCCCTTTTGATCACCATCCTGCATGCTTGTTAATCTCTGGCATCGCAAACAATCGGTGGAGACACTTACATCGTTGTACTCCAGTTCAAGCTCCCCGCGATCAGCCCGCTTGTTCAACGACCAACTGCGTAAGGTGATGAGGCAAACAATAACAAGCGTGAGCAGGCAGCACGCGATACAGGCGTACAGACCTGGTCGGTAGCCAGGCTTGTCCTGCGTTCTGAACACCAGACCCCCAGCCACACCCCCGACTCCACCCATGCCCACTAAAGTGGCGGAACAAAAAGCGCGTTTCCACTGTCCGCGGATGTTGTTCGCTTGGTAAGACATGGTGGCAGGGACGTTGCTGTTGGCGCCAGCAGTGGTCAAGAACACGCCGAAGTACTGGATCGTATGTCAGCCTAATCTGGAAAGCAAAGACAAGCGAGAGTCCTTACCCTAACGTTGGAGTTACTGTGGAAGCCCATGATTGGAAGCCCGATGAGGCAGAGAACCATGTTGAAGATGATGACCGGTCCACGTAGATGGTACTTGTCACCCGCCCAACCAGTTGCGTACATGACAATTGCGGCGAAAGCGTACGGCGGTGCAACGAGGCACTGTGCTGCACCGATGCTGAATCTCATGTTCTCAGTCAGGATGATCGGCAGGAAGTATGCAAGAGCGTAAGTCACGGTGGTCGTGTTGAAAAAGATCTAACGAGTCAGCGACGAATGAACTGATTGCAAAAAAGACGAACCATTGCAAAACCCCAAATCTTGAGATCAGCGCCACCCCTGAAGAACTTGGCCAATGACCAAGCTTCTGGCTTCGCATCACCACGGTCTCTGTCAACACGATCGATGATGAATTTCACTTCACGCGCGTTCAAGAACCTCCAAGACTTGTGGGCCTTGTCAGGGAAGTCAACAAGAGCCCACCAACCGATAATACCAAGGCAGCATGTCAGAGCTCCCTCAATGATGAAAATCCCTGTTGTATGGGTCAGTCTTGCGTTGCAGACCTCTCAAATCAAGCAAAGTACTTACATCGCCAGCCGTTGAGACCCTCGCGTCCCTTCAATTGCATAAGTCCGTAAGCCAGAATACCTGCGCATGCTGAGGCCAGACTTCCAAGGATGTAAAAACAGGAATATCGCTTTCCAATATCGTATCGAGTATCTATCTTACATGTCAGTACTGCTGGGATTGCTCAAGACAGGACACGTACACCAGGTTGACAGGAGGTAGACGCAGCTGGGGAAGAATCCGGCCTCTAATATACCGAGAAGTACTCTAAGTGCAGCAAGCGTGCCGTAGTCTGGACTAAAGCCCATGCCAATCATCACAGAGCCCCATGCGACGACAATGAAAGAGAGGAAGTTTCGTGGCCCCAGGTATCGGACGATTACAGTGGCAGGTGGTTGGAAAACAATGTAGGTTGCGAAAAAGACAATGGTGACAATCGAGTAACGCGAAATAGTGCCTTGGAGGACATTGAGCTTGAGTTCAGCGTTCATTCTTGTTGTTGTCAGCGCTCATGTTGCACAGCCATTGGCAACTCTTCCACATACCCCGCAATAGCCGCAGCACTCAGGTTGGTACGGTCCATCAGCGAAACACAGTACAGCACTCCGACTGTGACAACAAGACGGCGATCAATGCGATGGATGATCTTCCGTTGTTCGCGCTCAGTAAACTCGCACTCGTAGCCATCGGTGGATGTGGCATCGTCATTTTCCTTTAGCGATGGCGAGGAGTGCTTCTCAGCATCATGGTGCTGATCAACCACGTGCGAATTCATGGTGGGCGAATTCGAATGGCGACGTGTGTAGGTCGCAGCGAGGGGGGGCGGGCACACGGTGAGATAAAGAAGGAACAAGCACGCGGCGATCTCAATATATGTTCAGCTGTGTCCACTGTCCGTGCTGCCCCCCTGCCATGCCACCCCGCCAAGACCAATCGGTCCCCAGGCATGCCATCGTTTCAAGCCTACCGAGGCACGGGCAATCTGTCGAGCTTGTTACGTCGCAGTCCTCCTCCATATCTCCATCGCTGTCCAGTCCAATCTGGAGGCAAACAGCGGAGAGGGCCGAAAACAGGAAGGTGAGTGGAGACCCGGGGTTGGCCTTGGCATGTGGAGACCCCGCATGAAGGTGAACGCCATGGGGTTTGGCGGACCCACGACCAGCTAACGGACCCACGCTTGGACAAGCCTTCTTGTCCCAACTGCCCATCAGAGGCTTGTCATCGCCGCCGCCATGGTAGAGGGTGCGCGAGCCCCTTGGGCCCGTAGCAATTCGATGCTCGTGAGCCGATCGTTTCCTTTGTTCCAACAACGCTGCCCTAACAGTACGCGCGCAGCCTACTAGGAGACGCCCATCTGCAAGCGACCAGGCTTTGACATTCTGCTCTAGAGTAGAGTACGCGGGGTACGACATCCTCTGGCGCTGGCTGCACTCCACTTGCCCGTCTGCGGGAAACCCAGATTAGGGCACTTCTCCGATCTGCTTGCCGTTGATGCGTGACAGCTCCATACGGCCTGCATACGGACTCGAGCCGCAAAGACAAGGAACTCGTCCTATGGTTTGTCTTGTGTCGCCCCCAGCGCCTTGGCATACATCAGCACATTCCTTGGATGTGCTTCCACTGCTTATAACAACGGGCTGGGCAGGCCAGCAGTAATCATGTAGCAGAGGCTTCTGAGCTGATTGAAACTAATTCGAACAGTCAACGAGAACCAAGACACAGCGCTGCATGCTGTAATTCGACAGAGAAGGCTGACTTCCAAGATCAGGGGGAGATGAGTTTCTACTGTGCCGTTGATCGGCACTCGCTTATTGGTTGCCAGATGTGGCGTCGTTGAAGTTCAGTCACACTTCCCCCCACACTATCAATGTTGGATACCTGGCGGCGTCCATCATGACAAAGGCATTTCAATGAGTGGATCGCCGGCTTTACCATGTCGGCAGATCATCTATGCCCCATAGACCTGCGCGGATTGCTCAGGAGTAATTGCACTGGCACTACGCACTGCAGACCTCTAAGCGAGTCCGAGTCCTGTGATATCCGTTGTTAAGTACACTGAAAATACCCCAAACGAGTCGCGGCCTCATCACACGATCACATTTGGTGGCTATGCGAGATGGCTAATCTCGCAGGTGTCTATGACGAATCAAACGCGCTCTACGGCGCCCCTCACAACCACCGTCATTCAATCTGGTAATCCGGAGAAAGCCAACAGACACACTCGGGCAATGTTTCTCCACTACCAGATGTCTTATGATGATTGCAGGTCAAATTTGCTTTTCACATATAAGATGATCTAATTGCACTACAGCAGTCAGCGTGTCATTCCACTTCGACCTACCAATAGTCCTAAGTGTTCCACATATCAATGCCGACCAAATCGCTGGATTGTGTCGATCCAACGTGTTCCCGGCTCGTGGGCTTTCAAACTGGTTTGATTATGTACATGTTCCCCGGATCATGCTCAGTTCCCGCCTAGATCTTAACGCCAGATGTGGCTTCGCCATCCAATCACATCACTAGCAACAGAACACTGACCCAGGTTCCCCAGAAACGGATCGCCGCCCTCCAACAGTGGCACTCCCGTACAGCCCGCTTTCCAACGCCCTCTACCATTTCCTGCAGTGCCTTCCTATAGCCCAAGATCATCGAACCAATAGGACCACCCCAATAGGCCAACAAGCCGAGGCACATTCGATTCTGCAAGTCTACATACTCCAAGGCCTCCCGTTCCAATATGCACTGTCCTAAAGTCAAACCTGGAGACACAACCCCTACAGCATCTTTGTTATCGCGATCATTGAATGGTAAGGGCACGGCTCCAATAGGATACTCGTCGAGAATTTATGTCCGAGGCAATCGAAGAGCTTGCCGAGTGGCCAAAGATTCTACGTGCATACTTGGGCTGATGTGGCGACCATAATTGACCGTACATGAGATGGGAGGAGGGCCGGTATGTTGCTTATATAAACTTCATGTTACAGCTTCGGAAAGGGTAAAGTTTTAAAGAGTCGGGAATTCAAGAGTTCGATATAGTGATCTACGATACTGCCTTTAGCCTTCAAGAATCGTAACGAGTAGGAGCAGTGCATAATACAACGCATTAAGTGTCGATGGCCACAGTTTCTGGGCATCTTGACATAAAAAGTCGGTATTCTTGCGATCTGGTAGCTATCATGACTAACGGAGT